CCCTGGCCGAGCTGTGGAGCAACTGCCGACCGCCGCCGGCCGGTGGCCAGGGGGGCCCTGCTGGACGCACGGCCTTTCACCCCGGGTGGTGGACAGAGGTCGGCCGGCCGGCGCCCCTCTGCTCCTCCCCTCCCCTCTCCGCACCCACTGCACGCCCCGGTACCACGCGGAGAGCCAATTCGGTGACCTCATGACCGGCACTCTGTACATCACGACCACTGACTGCCAATGGCCATTGTTTGGGTCAGCCAAGGTCAGCGGTCGGCTCACCACTGCATAACTCACGAAATCGGGATGTGACTGGTCTTTCTCAAAGTTGACAGACAACATCGTTACTGAATGCATTTGACATATATTATGTATATTTCAGCGGAGAAGGACGGACTGTGCCCACGCGTTTCTAACGACACCCAGCCTCGCGGTGGATGCCAAGACACGTGCAAATACGACTCTCAGTGTGACGACAACTCAAAGTGCTGCTTCAACGGCTGCGCTTACGTCTGTCTGCGGCCCCGCAAGCCCGACTGTGATCAGATCAAGTGCAAGGTCGGCTACAAGTGTACCGAGGACCGCAGCGGAAACCCCATCTGCTCCCCGATTCGTGAGTAATTTGAGATGTAACCGGAGAAAAACGATCCAAAATCCTAGAGGTTCACCCATGCAGGCTTGTTAATTTTGATAGCATCGAAAACAGAACAGGAAACGTTTAATAATTAATTCCACTCCCGGAAGTATGGTTGTAATATAAGAATGCTGATTGCTGACGCCGACCTTCGTCGAACGCTGGATAACCTACAATCATTGTGTTGCAAGAGGGGCATGAATATCATTTCGCAATCAGTACCCGTGACCGGCAGTCAACTAACATCAAATGTCCGTTCCAGCGTGCAAGCAGGACGGCGAGATTATCGACATCGAGTGTAACAGCTGCACCTGCATCCAGGGCTACCTGCTCTGCTCGCAGGAGGAGTGTCCGCCAGGTAAGGTCGGCCATTGAAATGGGCTGCTGGAGCATGTGCAACAGTTTTGTTTACTGCAGAGTCATGGTGCATCGCTGTTTGCGAAATAGGTACTGCAGATAAGCATGCTGCACCGTCCAGCGTACTATAATACACAACCACTGTAGTTAGTAGTTATACTGCACCGCACTGCGCAGCACACTGGAGGTATACTGCACCGCACTACACTACACACTGAATGATACTGCACCGCACTACACAACACACTGATGGTATACTGCACCGCACTACACAACACACTGATGGTATACTGCACCGCACTACACTACACACTGAATGATACTGCACCGCACTACACAACACACTGATGGTATACTGCACCGCACTACACAACACACTGATGGTATACTGCACCGCACTACACAACACACTGATGGTATACTGCACCGCACTGCGCAGCACACTGGAGGTATACTGCACCGCACTACACAACACACTGATGGTATACTGCACCGCACTACACTACACACTGAATGATACTGCACCGCACTACACAACACACTGATGGTATACTGCACCGCACTACACAACACGCTGATGGTATACTGCACCGCACTACACAACACACTGATGGTATACTGCACCGCACTACACTACACACTGAATGATACTGCACCGCACTACACAACACACTGATGGTATACTGCACCGCACTACACAACACACTGATGGTATACTGCACCGCACTACACTACACACTGAATGATACTGCACCGCACTACACAACACACTGATGGTATACTGCACCGCACTACACAACACGCTGATGGTATACTGCACCGCACTACACAACACACTGATGGTATACTGCACCGCACTACACTACACACTGAATGATACTGCACCGCACTACACAACACACTGATGGTATACTGCACCGCACTACACTACACACTGAATGATACTGCACCGCACTACACAACACACTGAATGATACTGCACCGCACTACACAACACACTGAATGATACTGCACCGCACTACACAACACACTGAAGGATACTGCACCGCACTACACAACACACTGATGGTATACTGCACCGCACTACACTACACACTGAATGATACTGCACCGCACTACACAACACACTGAATGATACTGCACCGCACTACACAACACACTGAAGGATACTGCACCGCACTACACAACACACTGAAGGTATACTGCACCGCACTACACAACACACTGATGGTATACTGCACCGCACTACACAACACACTGATGGTATACTGCACCGCACTACACAACACACTGAAGGATACTGCACCGCACTACACAGCACACTGATGGTATACTGCACCGCACTACACAACACACTGAAGGTATACTGCACCGCACTACACAACAAACTGAAGGATATTGCACCGCACTACACAGCATGCGGTAGGTAGACTGCACCGTACTACACAATACAGGCTGTAGGTATGCCCCACCATACACTAAGTATGCTACTTATTTCGTACCATAATTTTGTTACTTTGCGGTTGTTATGGTCATATAACTATCAATGAATCCTGTCGGAATCGCTCTTTTGCGACTTGTTTAGACACTCGGGTGAAGTTACGTGTGTCAGCCTACTGACCAGTGCTCTAATCCGCGTACAGTGAAGCCGGGCTTCTGCCCGAAGATCACCAAGGGCTACAAGGGCAAGTGTGTGGAGGACTGTGACAGCGACTACAACTGTGATGGAGAGCACAAGTGCTGCTCCACCGGCTGCGGCCACACCTGCCAGAAACCCGGTGAGTTTGGATCGCCTCTAGAGAGGGGAGACGTGCCTTTATAAAAAAGAACATTGAAGCGCAGGGGTAGCCGGTAAGGGGAAATACACCGTATAGATAGAAGTCACTACTTTTGACGGCAGCGTGAGTTTAAATCACTTCATAGCTCGATAACCTTATTTATTTTCTATGCTTAAAATATCATCAGTTGTCGTTTTGTTAACCCTCGCCGGCACAGGCCATTTTGCGTCCTTCGACGGCACAAGGGGGGGCTGGTTGGTACGACCCCCCCCCCTCGCGTTTGGCCCCTGATCGAGCTAGAGCTTCGCGGAAAAAACGAGCGTGTTGCCCGTCACGAGAGGAAGCCAATGATACCCAAGTTTAAGGTCCTAGGTCATCGGGTGACCTTCCAGGTCAGGTCATGGCCCGAAAACCGGGAAAATCGGGACCTGTTAGAAAGTCGTAAAGTGTGGCTGCTATGTGGTTTTCCGGGGTGCTGATCACGAATATCGTGTTAGTTTTGATCAGAGATGATATTTCTAAGCATTTAGACCAGGTCGGGTCAGGTCAGGTCAGGTCAACCGGTAGGGGTTGTAACGGGTATTCGTAATGCGTGTCAACCGCCTCTGACAGCTTCGTAACATGTTACGAAGGCACCAAAACTACTTCGTAAATGTTCAAATGGTTGCTAAATTCGAATTCAGCTCCAAAAACTAGCCTAGAAACATGTAAAACTCGAAAAAGTGAACCGAGGTCACCCGAGGTCACCAAAGGTCAATGACCTGACCTGACCTTCAGGTGACCTTGACACCCACCCTAATGTATGGGAGCAACATCAAATCACATGTTTGAACGTTCGAAACCACGAAAAGCTTGCAAACGCGCGGCTAATGCGAGCCGACATACGCCGAATCGCGATTTCAGCCAAACATAGGCACGGAAAAGAGGTCACAGGTCAAAGGTCATTGGGGTCAGGGTATGAAATTTTCAGGGAACGTGTAAAATTGATCAATGCGAGGGTACTGAAAGTTTTGTCGCGATCGGCCGCTTTTTACGCGAGTTATTCGCGAAAAACCTTAGGGGGGGGTGCATCAACCCCCCCCCCCCCCTGTGCCGGCGAGGGTTAAATACAGCCCCAATGTCACTGGGCCTGGAGCTCCGTTGGAGGACTCTGGCGCTCGCTGGTCCTTTCGACCCTGGTGTTTATCCACTCTACCACTAGTTTCTAGAGTCGCCGCCAGTGTCGCCACAGTTGATCTGACCATCTTCCATCTCTCCCCAGTGTCTGAGATCGTCCACCCGTGTAAGACGGTGCGGTTCCGGTGCGGCGACGCCACTCGGTGCGCCGCCACGCGCGGTCTCTGCCAGCCGGGCAAGACGTGCCCGCTGTCCCCGCTCTGTGTGAGCACCCGGGCGCCGTTCTGTGAGAGCTGTCCGCCCGGCAAGGTGTGCGTGCTCCAGAAGCGCTCGTGCCCGAACGGCGGCTCGTGCCACCGTCAGCCCATCTGTATCCAGCTCTACAGCGACGACACCATCTTTGAGGAGGACGAGGAGCTGGAACAGGTGGTAGTGGCGAAACAGACAGCCGGACGGAAGACCGGCTGAGTCTCCTCCCTCTCCAATCCTGGTCACTTCCCCTCCCAATCCTTCTCCTCCCAAACACAGTAATCTAGAACCGTCAGACGGCGGCGGAACATGGATCAGTGATACGGACTCCTAAATACGGCAGCCGGTCAGATATCTGTCCCCGTGGAGTCGATATTTGTGTGAAATATCGGACCGGACTGAGCTCTCTGCGGTATATTCGGCCGCCCGTGTCATCTCCGCCAGGCATCTTACCGGCCCGGCAGCGGGGAGGCCGGCCGCCGAGCGGCTCTGGGAGCGGCCGTGCTGCGGTACATTAGAATACTGCGGACGGAGAGTGGGTCGTGGTGTTCCCACGAACAGTTGTGCTGTGCCGTGGGAGGGAGTCCAGTGGTGCTGGAACCGTGGGGCCCTGGCGGAGCGGTGTAACACAGGGTTGTGTCACTGTTCCAGCAGCGGTCCGAGCCGCCCAGGAGGGTGTGGTGGAACGGACTCGCTTCGTAAGGTCGTCGTGTGGACATGTTCTACGGTCTCCCGCTGGTTTTCTGTCGTTACTTGAAATAGAAGTGTGGATATAATATTTCTGAATAAATGGTGACCCAATTAAGTCGACTCTTTATGGCTTAATTAAAGAACAACTCGTTGCATCTATTGGGAAGACATTACGTAGACAAGACTGGTAAAGGTTCATTGTTTTATTGATAAATAGAATAAATAACCATTCAGCAATACAGTGTAACAAGTTCGCACGGCTCGGAACAGTTTAGAGCACAACAAAGCAAGTGATTTGTGCAAAGGCCGTAAAACAAAACGGCTTCCAGTAACAAATAGCTGTCGACACCGTTGAATTTAAGGCATATTGAGCACATAGTTATTAGGTTATACCTGACCTAACTTGCAATAAGCCCTGCAGAAACCATTGAGCAATACAGCAGTGCATGAGCAAATATTCAGTTCTATGTAAGTTCATTACATCGAGCGATGTGCCCCTCGGCACCATACAGGAGACATTCCTAAATTTTCACTTAGTTCACCCGGGGACGTTCGCGGAACTTTCGCTCGAAGAAAGTCAAAAAACTGCAATAAAAAAAAACATTCCGCATTGGGCTCAGATGTGACGCCGGACATATGTAACTACTTAGATAACTCTTTGTACACAATGAAGAACGTGCATGAAAACGACTGGACCGGGTGCGCGGGTGTGACTGCCCCCCCCCCCCACACACACACACATACACCGCCCCTGTGAGCAGTGCTGTCCGGCGGGGCGGACACAGAAAGTAACAACGGAACACTCCTGTTACCGGGAGCGGCACAACGACCGGTGCCGCTCTGTGGAACACCCACTAACAACAGTACCGCGAGCGGGACTGGTTTGGAGCACCACAGCGCGCTCCTTCGCCGCAGTCAGAAGAGCAGCACCAATCTCGGATCGTCGCGCCGCGTCGCGATCACGCGAGTCATCAGGAACACTCAATAAATATTTAACTGCATCTCATCGCGTCATTCAGCCTATCGATAGCTCTGATTGTACAGACACAAAGCAGCCGAACCACGCTGAGGCCCCATTGCAGTGACTGTTTCAAAACATGTCTATCACACGCACACCACTCGCACACATACCTACAGAGCGCAGTCGCACAGACAAGGACACGGGACACAGTGGCGCCCTCACGAGAGCTGCTAGTCCTCAAGTCTGCCACATGTGCCCGCTTAGTCTGCAGGGGCTGTCACAAGGGACTCAGTACTCTCCTAGACACTGCATTGCATGTAGGTAAGGCGGTGATTCAGTCAAAGGTTGGTAGGGTCCAAGAAAATGTCAAGAAAAGTCAGCTATCCGTGGATCCAGTCAATGGTAAGTTCAGTTCAAATGTCATTCAATGTCAAATGTCATTCAGTCAAGGGTCAAAAATCCCGGGATGGACAGTCAGGTCAGCTCAGATTTATTTATTTATTTATTAAACACATCGCCAACGGGAACTCCCAATTACAGGCAAAGTCATCAGATGGAAATTCAGTCAGTCAACGCGTCGGTCAGTAAGGATCGGTTGATTTAAAGGGAGTACTAGGAAGAAAGGGCCTCGCCTCGGTCAGCGACAGTTGTCAGTCAGTGGATTAGTCGTCAGTCAGACAGCAGTTGGTCCGTCAGTCGGTCAGGAATACTGTCAAAGAACGCTCGAGCCAGACAGTGGTCGTCTAACTTAACGGTCATGGGATGTCTCAGTCGGTCAGAATGGTCTCGTCAGGCTAAGAAAGAATGTCTAAGTGACAGTAGTCAGTCCCAAAAAACGACCTTATGCGGCCATGCTCGTCAAAGAAATGATTGGTTCAGTGTTCCAGTCAGTTTTAACCTCAGTCATTCAGTCCGGTGTCTAGGAGAGCCCTATTGCAGCACCCTTGCAGGACCAAGTTCCCCGCGGCGGCGGCACCCTCTAGACTGGGACAGGAACGTCTGTGCGGCCGACGCCGCCTCCTATCGCCTTCAGAATCTCCACTATGCACTCTAGCGGGAACGACAGAACGGCAGGCGAAACGGCAACAAAAACATCTTCACAGGATAACTGAAGACAAAGCTGGATCTACCAGATAGGAGTGAAACACTCGGATGCATGAATGAGCTAAGTACTTTTACATCGCTAGACTCTTTCATGGAATGAAGCGTTGCCGTCTTAAATGAGCTGCTGAAGTGTCGTGTATACCCGCCGTTTCGCCTGTCGAGTCAGTGTTCCCGGCTTACCCGCTCACCCCGTCTGCCAAGCGGGTCGGTACTGGCCCGTGGTGACGGCGGGGTCCCTCTGAGGCCCCGCCGCGCCCGGAGCTCCGTCCGACCACGGTACCGCCGCTCGGCTATCACAACAGACTCCCGGTGTCCGTCCGCGGCACTGGCGCTCCGCTCAGAACACCACGTGCAGCCGCTGTCGGATGTAGCCGACCATATTCCAGTGGCGGGTCGGCACCAGGCCCTGCATGGAGCCGGCCATGGACGGAGGGCCCGCCATGGAGCCGGCCATGGACGGGGGACCCGCCATGGAGCCGGCCATGGACGGAGGGCCCGCCATGGATCCAACCATGGACGGTGGACCCGCCATGGACCCGGCCAGGGACGCAGGGCCCACCATGGACCCCGCCAGAGACGGCGGGCCGGTCATGGGCGCGCCCAGCGGCCCGGGCCGGCAGACGGGCTCGCAGTGCTTGGCCCGCGGCCGGTGACGGCACAGGAAGCCAGCTACTATCGCCGCAACAGCCGCGGCCACGGCGAGGAGCGCAAACAGCGCAGCAAAGCCGGCCGCCGGCAGGCAGACGCCGGACCGGGCTGAGACGATCCGTCCCTGCAGGATAGGGGTGCTGCGCTCTGCGCCAGTGGCGCTGCCGGACGCCTCCTGGAGGTCGTTGATGGAGAGCACCTCCAGTGTGGAGGTCACACCGACGTCTGTGGACCGGCCAGAGTCGCCCACCACGTACCGGCGGCGGCGCACGTGCAGACTGCGCGGGCCCCACGGGAACTTGGTGCGGTCCGCGCCGACGCTGCTCAGTCCGGCGTCCGAGGGCTCCTTGTCGGAGTCGTCAGTGGCGGGAGCCCCGGAGGAGGGGGAGGGGACGGCGGCAGAGTCAGCGGCGGGGTCGGCGCCCGTCTGCGCGGCCGCCACTGGGATATCGTTGGGGTCGGGCAGTTCCTCCGTCTCCTCTGTGTCCGAGCGGCTGATGGTGGCCTTCCCACCGACCAGCTCTCGCAGCTTCTGAGCCAGGCCGCCGAAGTCGAACCGCTGGCTGAGCGGTTTGCGCGTCGGTGGGACCGCCTGGCGGGTGATGAGGTTCGCAGAGGACGCCACCTGTTCCCCGTCCTCGGCGGAGGCGGGCTCGGGAGTGGAGGTCGTGGTGGGGGCCGGAGCCGGGGTGTCCTCGGTCAGGTACTGCAGCTTCTCCCCCAGGTCCACCCTCTCGGCTGCGGTCTTGGATCCGGCAGTCCTCGGGTCGGGCAGTCCGGCCACGCTCACCTGGTCCTTCTCACTGCCCGCCGCCAGCAGCGGGTGTCCTCCGTACCCCGCGGCCGGGGCCGGCCTCTGACAGTGGCGCGGGCAGCCGTGCCGGCAGATCTCCACCTTACAGCGCAGGTGCACGTACATGCTGTCCGGGAACTTGAAGGCGTGGAAGTGGGCGTAGGTGAGCACGGAGGCGCGGCCGTCGCTGCCCCGCTGCTTCTGGAACTTGCTGAGCATCTTGGGGCGGAGGACACAGCCGTGCTCGTCAGAGAGGAAGATGGGCAGACTCTTACCATCCGAGGCCTCGCAGCTCTTGACGCGCATGTCAAACTCGGCTGGAACAGTGGGAGGAAAAACATAACAAGTCAGTCCACGTTCGATAGGCATCGACAAACATCCCTCCCAAGTGGATCTATGATCCACATTACAAGCCTATTTGCGAGCAAATCATAAGCATTTCTCAGTATCTCTGTGCGCAATTTCCATATATCTTTCATCTAACGTATCTGCATTGATCCTCAGGAGCTGGATTAGTTCTCTAGCTCACAAAGTCAAACCTGATTTACCCAGGCTGTTTTCAGCGTGAGATCTCACAAACTTGTCATAATCACCACCAACCATTTGTGTCTCCGTCGTTCAATGTCTCACCGTTGGGGTCGTTGATCGCCACCACCATGGTCAGGGTGGAGCCGATGGGCACGATCCCCGTCACCGGACTGGCCCAGGGCCCCTTGCCGTCCTGGATTTCCATCCAGCAGTCCACGTTATCGCCTGGAACGGGACCACGCCGGTCAGACGGTCAGAGAGGGAGTGATTGGGCTGATTGAGGTACAACAACAAACAGCTCTTTGACATTCCCCGCTGATTGGCTAGAGCGGGACTAATGTGCTTGGAGGGGACAGTCAGTAGTCACATCCCTTCCGTCTCCGAATAACAGAAATAATTGCGCTCGATGCTACTGACAAAGTTTCAAATAACTGACAATCCGGAGGGACAAAAAAAAAACGTCCTGAATCCTTGAAACCAGTTCTACATAGAAACACTGATATCCTCGGCATGGATTATCATGTCAACTACGATCTATATCAAAGAGATTTCTAAATATTCACGGCAGTAAAACCACAAGTCGCACTGGTATGCGGTACAGTCCACGAGTACAAGTCTAAAAACTTGTCTAAGAGCGGCGCGTATGTCGCGTCAATTCGTGCCAACTACATGCCCCTGTCGGCGCTGGTAGGAGAGCCGCGGCTGATGTTCCAGAATGTGGTCACATAGCTCTCTGATGAAGAGACATTGTCCCTAATCTGGCCCATAAAACAGCCGTCCACCGAGGTGAAAACGGCCCGTCCGTCCGGCCGGCCGGCTCCGGACCGGTGAATAGGTCACGCTCATTGAGTCGCGCCGCCCGTCCGAGGCTAATCCCGATCGTAAACGCTCTATGGTGAGCCGATCGGCCGCGTACGGCTACTGTTTGACACACTGAGAGGCCGCTCGGTCGGAGATATCCCCGGAGAGCTTATACAGCCTCACAGCGGCGGTAAGGACAGAGAGCTCCGACCGGACCACACCCCGGGTCAGTACACAGACGGTAGAGAGGCCTGTCTCCGAGGACCCACCTCGGAAGTTGAGCTCGATAACCTCGAGGTCAGCCATGACCACCGGAGGCTTGGTGGCCGTCCTCTCGTAGTCGTTGTACCACTCGCAGCGGAGGCGCTTCGCCTCGTCCCAGACCTGGCGGAAAGAGAGGGCAGAGGTCAATGACAGAGCCCAGAGGAGAGGTCAGATAACTTCACATCGGGTCAAATGTCACCAATGTCGATCCGTTTACGTTCTCCTGACAGTTCACGCGTTTTGATTGGCGCTTTGCGTATTATCTTTTTATTTTACACGATTTATTTTGGGTAGCATGTGAAAAATAGCATAGGTAATATCTGGTTTACGTAAAACGCATCCACATGGGTAATTTAACTTGGTCTCAATTCCTGGACATGAAACGGCTCGTCGGTGATTTTTAATCAAAATAAGCCTGACTGACCTCGATGAGCTCGTTGTCGTACTGGACGATGATGGTGTTCTCGTAGAACTTGCCGTTCAGGTCCGGCTTCGTGCCGCACTTGTTGAAGTAGATGTCGAACGTATACGCTCCCAGTGATGTGTAGGGTTTAACGTAGACGCAGTTCGGACTGTTGAACTGACCCTTGGAGAATACCAAACCCTGGGAAAGACAAATAACGGAAACAATGTCATACGAGCTATGAGCTATGAGGCTGATTTGAGGACACCAGGAACCGGTAGCAAAATGTAGGTGAGCATTTGTATACATACTTTCGACGATCAATTCTGACCCGCCCAACATGGTTACCTCGTGAGCAAATACGGCTCCATTGACTATTTTAGCGAGCTACCGAATGCATGACGAGGAATAATTCATACGCAGCGTGAGTCGGACAGGGCGGGTGGTGACTCTCTCCCGGAGGTAGGTATGTCCACGCTCGGATATGCGAGCCGGCGCTCGCCCCCGCGGCCGGCGCGCACCGTGTGTGTGTGTCTGTGTGTGAGTCGGAGTGTGCAGGTATGCGGCGCGCCGGGCGCGCGGCTGACCCAGCGTGGCCCGCCGCCGCCGCCGCGGACGAAATGGGTCAGTGGCGCGGCCCGGCCGAGGAGCCGTCCGCACCGCTCCCAGCGCGGCGCAGCTGCGACCGGCCGGCGGCGGCGGCGGCGGCGGCAGACGGCACCCAGACGGGTCAGCAGGACAGCGGACACTGGTCAGCAGGACATGCAGCGGACACTGGTCAGCAGGACAGACAGCGGACACTGGTCAAAGGGACAGACAGCGGACACTGGTCAGCAGGACATACAGCGGACACTGGTCAGCAGGACATACAGCGGACACTGGTCAGCAGGACAGACAGCGGACACTGGTCAGCAGGACATACAGCGGACACTGGTCAGCAGGACAGACAGCGGACACTGGTCAGCAGGATAGACAGCGGACACTGGTCAGAGGGACAGCGGAAACAAACACTGGTTAGCAGGCAGAACAATGCAGAGGACAATAAGCGGACATAAAGCGGACAACGCCCAGCTCCTAGCAGACGTCCCATGTCCATCTGAGCGGGATGGGAGCGGTCCGGGAGAAGCCGACAGGTGCATTGTAATCCCATCTATCCTCCGATCACTGATCCGCTGTTACAGGACGGATCAGATCGCCGCCAAGGGATCAGCCGATGGGAACTGATCGGATTCCCAGGTGGAGAGGATTGGGTTAATGCGATCTCTTATCGCGGCAGTTCAGATACATAGGCGCGGGAGCCGGGGGGGGGCAGTGGGGGCAGCTTGCCCCCCCCCCCCCCCAACTATGGGGCCGTGGGGGCGGTGCCCCCACAGCTTTGAGACGGAATACCACACTTTTTTTGCAAATGTTTTCTTTTTTTGTTGAAAAAGCCGAGGGGTGAAAAATAAGTGGCCTAAAACCGGTGAGAAAACTAGATTTGGGGGTACCCTAGGTTAATCTCTATTATGGTGTGCCCCCCCCCCCCAGTCGGAAAGTAGTTCCCGCGCCCCTGTTCAGATATGAAGTCGGACTAACGGGACGGGGTCATGTATGCGTGTTTCGCCCTGAAATGTAGGTATTTAGGAGTCCGGGATGTTCATTAGAGCGGCTGCACATTTTTATGAAGAAATTTAAAACTTTGGCGTGCCTAGCACACGCCGGACAGAAATATTCCACCTGAAAGACTTCCGCTTGATTTGGTCGTTAAAAATATAAACGTTAAAACAACATTGCAGGGCCAGGGGTTCTAACCGGTCACAAACGACGGCCCTCTGACATAACCGCCGTATCGATGGCTCCATTTGAGCCAGGTGCTCGCATGGTTATATCGCAGGTACCGAGTTTATCGCGGCTCCAGTTGTCACGGTCTGGAAGGTGAGATGGAGGGATGACCTCACCGGCTGATCAACAAAAACGTGACCGCGGGTAGTTGATAAGGAAGCACCGGAAGTCCGAACAGTGAAAACGTTGCACGGTTCGCGGAAGTGGCATATGAATTTAGACGGCAAATGATTTATCAGCTTTGTCTTGCATGATGGCACGGTGCTGAAACAAAATTAGACCGAATCCACGAAGCAGTAAAGATTAGGTCATCAGTGATAAATATGGCCTCGATCGTTCCATATCAAGAAAATGGGTAAGAATTGTAACTGTAATCGGCGAAGTACGTTGAAGGCACTGGTCCCTATTTAATCACACGTTGTGGTAAAAGGTGTTGGTAAGACCGTCTTTGGATTGGACGGGAGCTGAGCTGTTCTGAGCTGCACCGTACTTACCTGGAACGGCTGTGAGAATCCGATTTGGACTGTCATGCGATCTTTGGCGCACATGACCTCCAGGTTTGTGATCTGAGGCATATTGGCCGGCCGCACCAGCTGGGTGTCATATTGCGCGTGTGCCACCTGGAGAAAAAGAAACAATCGTGAGCAGTGAGGTATGATGTCACAAGGGATCACGTAACCACACTGTCAGACAAATACGAACAGCCGAAGATCGATTCACATGCAGGACTTACGAAAAAAGTGACGCATAAGGAGCCACTCAACTTTACCAATAGGTACAATCATCTCGGACCAGTGACGAAACCATATTGGCACGTACAAAACAGTACACATCACGGACACAAAAGACAACAGAAGCCGAGGAAACCTCACAAAAAGACGGTGCGAATGAACACTCACAGATTCCAATTAACGCTCCATTGGACACAGAGAGAAAATAAATGCTTCACTGAACTTAGAGTGAATAATTTGACTGAGGCCATTTGAGGTTCCGAGTCTCTTTGGTCGCACTTTCCCTGGAATGAAGTGAAGCAGAATCGTATGACGCATGAAAGACGATAGGGCGAAATTTAATGTACGGCTGAACAAAGAGTCCTTTTCTTGGAATACCCATCCGGCCAAAAATAAATGCTTAAATGCACGGGTAAATCATATGTGTGTTGTATGAAAAATGACTTTAAATGTCGAGGTTTCATGCTATAGTTTTGGGATCCGATACCTAATAACACGATCAGTGAACCATCCAGCGTCTACAATTTGGTCGATAAATCGCTTTATGTAGAGCGTTAAAACGTATCATTGTTGTGAAACTCCACTTTTTCTACGCTCCGTGTTTGCAAGTCAAGCGTGATGCTCGCCATGAGAAAAATGTTTTTTTTTTTGTTGGCGTTATGGTTCACCTGGCATAACCTGGCCTCGCTTGGTTTCCTTTAAACTCAGCGGTCTTTCTAAATATCCTAAAAACAGCTGTTATTAATGCACATAATATCCCATCTAAAACATAGCGGGCGAAAGCACAAAATGCCGACATAACATGAGAGAGAGAGAGAGAGAGAGAGAGAGAGAGAGAGAGAGAGAGAGAGAGAGAGAGAGAGAGAGAGAGAGAGAGAGAGAGGGAGACAGAGAGACAGAGATAGAGACAGAAACAGATACAGAGACAGAGAGGGGAGAAAGAGAGAGATAGAGGAGAGAGAAGAAGAGGGAAAGACCGGACAGACAACCGACAGAGAAGCACTAAGACAGAGACCTATAGACCGAGACAGAGGCACGCACGCCCTGTGACAACAGAGTCGGACAGCCCCCAATTCGGGTCAAGAGATCTGAGCCGGCGCTTCGGGTAGGTCCGGCTGCTCGGCGGCCGTCTCTCTCTGAATCACGGGAGAGCCAATCGTCCGGACCAACTACAGGAAACGCACCGAGCCGGGCCGGTCGGCGGAAAAAGAGAAAACGCGACCACTCCGAACAGGTCGCCGGCCGGCCGGAAGCGCCGCCTCTGAGGTCACCGCAGTTACGGGTATTACCGGCCAGCTCTGGAGAATCTCGGGCTCGGTCGGAGCCACTCAAACTGAGGCGGCGGGAGGGGGACCGGTTGGCGATGGAAAGCAGCGGCCGGCCAGCCGGTCTCGCAGCAGTGACCCGGGTCATTGTCGTCTCGTGCCATACCCTGGTTCACCGCACATTTCGGTCACCACTGCCTTTTTATTCCGATACAGGAACAAAATCACAATGGCAATTCAGTCACATTGTTATGATAACAGGGTGGTACGGATCGGTGGCGGAACGAACGAACTCTGAGAAATGTTGGTACGTGTATAACACTGTCTTCAGGCTGGAATAAGTGGTGGAAAGTGGGAGCTGAACCATACCACTTTGTTGTCCTGAGTCCTGCCGTATGCGGAAACTCAGTCGCCGAACGGTGGACGGCGAGCGATGGACGACAAACGATAGACGGAAGACGACATCCGATGGACAGTAGCGAAGGAGGAGGTTGGGTCGATAGAATATGGACGATGGAAGTTGGGCGGCGCTGGAGGAGCAGCGGATAACGGCGGAGGGCTGGGCGGCGGAAACGGCGGCGGCACGCGGACTTCACGGCCGCCGAGTGCCGGCCGGCGCCTAACGGGCCGCGCCGGGCCGGGAGGCGGCGGAGGGAGGACAGCCTCGGATGTGGGCCGCGCCACCGCCGACTGCCACTCGAGACAGGTGACTGACGACTGACGACACCTCCCGCCAAATCAGCCCTCCCCAACAGATTCCGACAGGTACCGCACGAAACAATTGCGATTTTCTACACAATTATGGCATACATACTTACATAGGTAACCCCTTTAAAATACATATCTCACTTGAAATTATTTTCTTCGTTTCTAGGGAGCCTTCCCTTACGACGAAATCAACAGCCTTAGCGAACGTGGCTTATCTCTAATCAGACTATTAAAATTACAAGGGAGATATGGTGAGACACACTAACACAACAAACTGTTAGCACCCGAAGTGACGTAAAATATTTAAATATATCTCACCAGGTGGACCAGCGGAGTAGCTGACAAACTATCGCTACCATCTCTCCCTAGGGGTCCCATTTTTACTATCTGGAGTCCTGGACCTTGGGTGTCAGCGCGGCTTGTATCGGTCTGTCCTGTCGGCTTATGGGCGTCGCTGCTGAAGGAGCGGTAGTCTCTGTCGCTACTGTTCAGCCGTGGGCGTCAGGATCAGACAGCCAGGCTGCTACTGGATCTAAGGACACTGCTACTGTCTACATGGTCTAAGGACGTCGCTACTGTCTAGTCTAATGATGCGGCTACTGTCCAACTCTAATGACGCGGCTACTGTAGGCTCTAAGAAAGTCGCCAGACGCATTGTCTATCTGAAGCACTCGCCACTACCGTCTGTCCGGCCAGCCGCCAGACCTGTCCGGCCGGTAGACCGGCGGCGGCGCCCACCGGAATGTGAACAAATCCGGGAAGGCAGCGGCGTCACGCCACGTGTCCGGAGCCGGAGCCGAACCGGGTCATCGCGAGCGGCGAGCCGATACGGCCGGCCGGCCGCGCACACAACTAGTGCGGAACGCAGACCGACCGACCGAGCGGCCGATCGACGGACAGACAACGGCCGCGGACGGCGCGGCGGTCTGATCCCAACAATGAGCCCGGCTATCACTGGCCAGACTCAGAGGTTCCGCGTACCATACGATCATCGGAGGTCAGAAGTGACAGTGACCCTCTGAGGTCAGGGCAGTGGCATTGGGACGGCTGCGGACATGCCGGATTCAAAGAACTTCTCCACTATAAAGTTAAAAGGCACGAATAAATCAGAGGACAGACGGTCACTGAACTCTGTTTGCAAATGCACTGCGCCGCAGACCCGCGTCACCGCGCGGACTTTCTCCGGCGGTCGGTGTCCGGTCGGCCGGTGTCAGCATGTCATCTCGAGTCAGGTGTCGCGCTCTGTGACACGTCCCCGGCCCGGTCGGCGATGCCCAGTGGGTCAGCGGGCGGCACGCGGAGCTGTCCCGACCAGCCGGACCGGCCCTCTGTGGACCGGTCCCCGACCACCCTCTCCGTCCGTCAGACCGGTCACAAACCGAGATCGGCCGGACGGAGGGGGAGAGGCCGGACGGGGGAGAGAGCAGATCATCAGGTGCGACCCGGAGTAGGGCAGAGCACAGAGGCGGACGGGCGAAAGCGAGAAACGATAAGGGTTGTTGTATGTTGTAGGAAACTATAGAAACTGCATGGAATCATAAAAAGTTTATGCATCCCATATTTGATCTCGGCCAGTTTATTGCAATAACACTTAACTGTTCAACTTATTTCAAAACCAAGAAGTTTTATAGGATTCAATTTCTGATAATAAGCCGTACCTATTTGCTTACACTTAATGAATGGAGCGATGTAGCACATAACTTGGCCGTTCCGTCATTACTTCAAGTTACTTCAACAGCTGCCATGATCGTAACACTCGGCAATAAGCCGAAATGACACACTCGAGTCATTCGCCGCCTCACGAGTGGACGATTAGGCCGCCTAGTGACAGCTGCCACGGCGGCTGCTGAGACGGGCTAATGACTGGGCGCCGAGCGCCGCGGTAATTAACAAAGAGGCTCTGTGACGTGCCGCGGGGCGCTGCAGACAGTCACCGCTGGTCCTCTGTGACGATGAATCAGCCCCTTCCCGACTTATCAGGACACGATTTCTTTTGTAAACTGCCAAATGGTTGCATCCGGTATGCTTGCATGCAACTTCTTTAGAGCTGGAAAAATATCACGTAATGGAGCAGAAAAGACCCACATGAATCTCCGATGTAAATCTCGCGCATCTAGTTGTTTTTGCACAGTGCACACCGTTTTTGCGACGTTTATAACAAAAAATGAAATCTGGAAAACGGATTAGCACTCATATAACTTTCAAGATAAGGCAAATGTTTTAGTGACGCTGCACTCGATGACCTAAATTCAATGCGTTGCCTCTGAATAGCGGGTAGCCGCAGAAGTCAATCATTAACCTTCGTCCACTGCAGCCACCCTCCCACTTTCGCCAGTGTCCGCGCGGCGCCGTGCGTGGTTCCGATAATGGGCGGAGAGTTTCCGTGCCGCGGCCGTCACCACCTCGACCCATTAGCGGACCACGCCGCCCGCTCCCACGCCTCAGTCCGAATACACGGCGCGAGGTGCCGGCCGGCTGCCGCTCCGAGCAGGGCAGCGGCCGCCCCGGGCGCCGGCAGAGTCCCACAGACCGGGCGTGCCCCACTGCCGACACTTTGGAGCAGGTCGACGGTATTTGATGAATGTAGCTCGACGAAGCAATAGTGGTAGATGATCTAAGCTAAATCGCATTGTGAGTAAATGTATGTAAATGTGTGAGTAAATGTCCAAGTTGTAGGTACGTTCATGTGTGGTTTCTTAGTAAATTGCTTGCAACAACTTCAGTTACATCGTGACCAAATTCCCCGTGGTTAGAGCAGGCAGAGATATTTGCAGTTGCTGCGCTCATGCTCCGCCGATTCAATGAATGAGCTGGCGGCTGAAGATTCAATGAATGAGCTGGCGGCTGAATGGGCGGCGCGGCCGGCAGTTGGGCGCGGTGCTCGCGCGCCGGCAGCGCGGCCGAGCGGCACGTGTCCGCCGGCACTCGGTCAGTTTGGCGGGCGGGCGGGCGCGGCCGGAGCGCTCCCACCGCGGCGGCCGGTTCCTGTGGGAACGGCGCCCGACCGGCCGGCTGTCGACGGCCGCCGAACTGGGCCAGCTCGCCGCGCCACGTGCCGCCGCTCTCTCCCTCTCTGCCTCGCTCCGCGCAGAGCCGGAGTGTGCGCGCCGGAAACAGGCCGGCCGGCCGCCGAAGGCCGCGCGGTAGAAATAACGGCGCGCGTGGATCACTGGCGGCGCAGGGCGGCCGAACGGATGGGTGGACGAACGGCCAAAATGCGACTGATCAATAGAATGGGGTGGAATATTGTTTATATTAGATGTCTACCTCTATAAAAACTTACACCATATTAGAAGCTGCTCCTTTTCCATATTGAACTATTCAATAAATGAAAACGAGTCATACAGAAAACACCCAGGATCGCCGACCCTTTGACCGTGTGCACGGCTCGCTGGACGGCCTATTTTAGCTGTTCACGGTCCGGAAATGGGCGCCGACCATTCCAGATATCTCGGGTAGATGGTAAGCAGCGCGAGTCACCCGGCTCGTCAGTGAAAACCCACCGGCGTGTCACCGCGGCCATTGTCTGTCTCTTGTCATCGCCCACTGACCGGGACTGCAGGACAGAGCTGACGGGAGACGGGCCGGAACTGGAGGCCAGAACCAGAGCTTGGAGACTAAAACCAGAGCTAGGAGAACAGAACCAGAACCCAGAGACGGACCAGAGACACCCGCAGACGAGACAAATCGTCCCGTGACGGGTCTGTGGATCGTCTCCCAGAGGAGCGGCGGACCCGCCGGCCCACCCTGACGGCAGCGGCACAATGGCACCCGGCCGGCCGGCCGTTTCCGGACCGCCAGAGCTCGCTGACCCATTTTAGACTGTTGACAGTCACAATGAGGATTGTATCAGCTGGCGGTGATGGTCGGCGCTCTGTCAGACTGTCGGCTGCGGTCCCGGACGGCCGACTGTCCGCCGGTCCGCCCGACTGTCCGCCCGTTCCGGTCCGGCCGCGATGGGTGGTCGGCCGTTCCGCGCGTCACTGCCGCTCCGTCCCGCGGCGCGCTGCAGCCGGCCACCCCGGTATGCGGAGCTCCCAGTGCAGCCGCTGCCGGCGCCGGCGGTCCGTAAGGCCGGCCGCAGCGCGCGGTGGCAGCGTTCTCAGCGGCACCGTTTCATACACCGCTGGACGCCGGCCGCCGGCGACGGACTGAGCTCGCGAACGGCATCGGCGCACCGCAGCACGGCAGCGCAGTACGGTACGGTACAGCACGGCACGGTACAGCACGGAACGGAGACGGACTGAGCTCTCGAACGGCACTGCGCACCGCAGCACGGCAGTACGGCACGCTGCGGTACAGCACGGCACGGTACAGCACAGAACGGCAGGGGACAGTACGGCACGGTACAGCACGGCACGGTACGACAGGAACGGCATTGAACGGCACGGCACGCTACGGTGTGGTATGGTACGGAATGGCACGCCTGACCATAGCGGACAGCATACCGTGCCGGCGCAACAGAGTGAAGATCCCCAAAGTACCAATGGAGACTGCGGCCACACAACACAGTATCACCCCAGTATGGAGACTACAATACCACATAGCAGTGTATCACCATTACATGGAGACTGCGGCCACACAACACAGTACCACCGCAGTATGGAGACTGCAACTTAACACTGCACAGCATCTCCACAGCACGGAGACTGCAATACCACACAACACAGTATCCCTGATACATGGAGACTGCAACTTAACACTACACAGTATCACCACAGTATGGAGACTGCAATATCACACAGCACAGTATCCCTAATACGCAGAGACTGCAAACAACACAAAACAGTATCCCCATTGCATGGAGACTGCAACACCACACAGCACAGTATCACCATTACCTACACGGGGACTGCAATCCCACACAGCAAAGTATCCCTTGTACGCGGAGCCTGCAATGCCACACAAAACAGTATCACTACATTATGGAGACTGCAATGCCACACAGCAGTGAGCACCAGTATGTCAGGACTGTTGGGGACTGATATCTCGGGGTACATGGGGATAGTATATGGCCGGGGACAGATACAACGAAAAACATAATGGACAGCAATTGGGGACTGCAATACCGCGCAAAACAGCATCGCCACTTCACGGAGACTATAGAGACACAAAACAGCAGCACCAAATCGTTAACATGGTTGTACTTACCATAAGGCAGCATAACGAGACAATTGCTTTTGATGTGTTTAACTTCATGTTGTTTTCCCTGAATTACCAGGGAGCGCCTGAAAGAAAACAGCATTTGTTATACACAGCACTACTCTCCGAAGATGCCAATAGTAATAGTATTGATCGTTATCACCTGACCAATCAATGATATCCGACTGCGAAGGATGATACGATGGATGGATCAATGAATGTCCCAGGTGGCTTCTTCTCTTTCCCACTCATCCTCCACGCAATTTCTCTCTTAGTCATCTCTCTCTCTCTCTCTCTCTCTCTCTCTCTCTCTCTCTCTCTCTCTCTCTCTCTCTCTCTCTCTCTCTCTCTCTCTCTCTCTCTCTCTCTTCCTCTCCCTTTCGGCGCGGAGGAAGCTGACCGTTATCGGCGGCGCTCCCGGCCCTCTGAGGCGCGCCGTTACCTCAAAACGGCACGGCACGGCACGGCACGGCACGGCACGGCGCCAGCCGTGGCCGCGGGTGCCACTCGATCAGTCAGAACGCGCCAGTCACGCTCCACAAACGACCGCCGGGCGGGTGCAGGACAGGGGTGCGGGGGTCAGAGGCCGCCGACGGCTGCGGGTCAGGCAGTGGGAACGCACCAAATGACCGACATTGGCACGGGGTGGACTTTGGGTCAGCGATGTCAAATGGGTCAGTTATATCGGACAGAGTCAGAAGCGATGGATCTTGAAAGGGTTGGTAAAAATTTCTGAATGAGCCTGAAATTTCTGAATTGACCTACTATACCGTGCACATTGTACATCAATTTTGACGTTTTTAGCGCAAAAATGCGTCTGGCTAAAACTGTATCAGCTATAGTAGCAATAGCCAATAAACTATCGTTGAGAAGTGCTATATTACATTAGTACGTCAAATTCATGTGCGCCAGGCTGTGGGATCGACTCTTGTCGGGTATCGGCTGCGATTAGTGCCGCAATACGATTCACTATAATGTCGCACACCAGCCAACGTCTCCACAGTAGGCATTGAACGCAATCATGTAATCACTAAAAGAAAGTTGATCCAACATCCAACAGCTTCCAAGCCAACATTTGAAAAAGTTGACCTTGCATGCACATCTTGTTTGCGATAGGCGTAAAAGTGACACCCCATTACCCATAAAAAAGAAACATGCAACAATATGACAGAGCTAGTCATTGTACGTTATTCGTGAGCATGTCTATCCAGACGAACGTGCAATACAACGTAACTAAAAGCAACTTAGTAAAAAAGGAAAACAGTGGCTGATAAAACGCACACTACACTGTGTCGATATCCAATGCTAAGACGTGCCGTCTCACTCACCTGGCTAGGCGTTGTGGGGCGGCCGGGGCCGCGGCAGCAGTCCAGTCCACAGACACACAGCAGCACCACTGGCACTGGCGCCGGCTCTGAGCGCTCCACCGATCGGCTCTGGGAGCGGACAGCGGGACGGACGGACCTGCGGCTGGGCCGGGCGGCACGAGACTGGATCACCGCCGACCGCCGCCGACCGCCGCCGAGCCGACCGCCGCCGGCGACGGGCCAGCCACCGACACGCAGCAGAAGAGGCCGCCGGCCGGTAAAATGTGTCGACCAGTGGTGACTTCAGACCGGGAGTGCCACACACGAGACCGGCGTGCGTCATTACGTAATGACAGAGCTGCCGCGGCTCACGCGTACTTTGGTATAAGTTCTGCTCTGTTTGGATGCTTTTAAATGGAACGATTGCTGGCATTGGAACTGTCAAATTAGGTCAACTGGCCATTCCAGATAACAGGTGAAGGCTTCAACTTTTTCTCTCTAACATTTTGAATGAGAGCTTCTGAAAATCATACCGAACTCGCTGTACGAGCCTTTGAATTGTCAAGACCCGGTCATGGCCGAGACGATATTTTATTAGAATTTCCGTTAAGTAGGTAGAGATGAATTAAAAATTTTCCCAATATATTTTCGTTCAATCTTGACTATAAGTGTGATGTGACCCAGTTGAGTTTGTGCAATCACTCAGGAAGTACCTACTCACCGGGGGTATCAGCATTTTTATGCACCAGGAAAATCGCGGTATTATAGGCTGAATCTGGTGGTTTAGCGGGACTTTTCAATCAGATTATTGTTGCACGTCAGTCCGACCCCTGCTGCTGGTCAATCTGACCTCTGAGCTTTCCGCTCAGCTGATGCCTGGGTGCAATAGAACAGGATGGTTTAGAACAATAAAAATAACTGCACAGTTGGGTCACTAGCAGTTAAATGTAGACCGAATCCCCCGAGCCCCACTCCGTGAAAACTGAGTTACAACAGATCTTCCAGCACTTTTCACGACGGAATATTGGACACCTATTTGATCCATTTGGTACCTGATTTTTTTTTTTTTAGTAGTTATTTACTATAAGTTGTATAAATGTGGGAGGATGAAATGTCGATTACTTTTCGTTTTCAGTCGTGTTTTAATGGGTGCTGGCTTACGAATTGAAATCGGCATCTGAAGCCTGCATTAGGTACCTACTTAAACGGTCTTGGCGTGTTCACGAGTTTAGGTCCATCGTTTGAACGGCTGCTATCACTGACATGTGATTGCTGCAACATGTGATTGCTGATTAGCTACCACCGACGCCCGATCAAAGTTATCTTCTGTCACCGATTGTCAGATCCCTTGCAGCGACCCCTGTCGGACCACTTCGAGTAGTGACTGCCATCTGGTGGAGGTGGATAACAGCAGCAATTGCACTGGCACACGGTCAGTGCTGTGGGACGTTCCCCAGCCTCGGTCGCTCAAAGTCAAGAGAACATAGGGCATCAAGTAAAAAGAGTCATGATATTCATCGACAGCCACGCATAATCTCGCATGAATTTTAAAACAGCAGAAATAATTCACAGCACTATTTATCGAGACGGTTTGTGGACTAAACTGGGTGATAGCAGGAAATAAAAACATGCTTCTGAGGTTTACGAGCACAAACAACTTGCAATTGTGCAAACAAGAAAAAGAAAAATTAAACTAGCAGGTTTACTGATATTCTACCCCGGGAAAAGCATGCTGTTAAAATCCCAGTGAGTCCACCCCCCCCCCCCCCATCTCTCCTGCCGCCCTCGCGCATCTGAAGATGTCGTGTCTCACTTCTCCTCCATTTCTCCGACCAGCCACCTGTCCCGCAGACCCGGCAGACATAGGCCGCGCCGCCTGAAGTTGATCGGGTCGCCCGGCTCGACGTTCTCCGCTCTGTCCAGCCAGCTGAGCAGCAGGATGTCCGCCCCGTGGTCGGGCTCCACCATCGGCGCGCGGCAGCCTTCCGCCAGCTCCCGGCCCATGTCCAGGGGCGGCGCCGGCGGCAGCAGCAGCCTCTCCAGCAGCTGCTCCACGGTAAACTGCTGCAGGCAGCTGGCGGTAAGAGCCGCCAGGCAGCTGGTTAGCCGGCCGGCCAGCGAAGCCGCGCTCTCAGCCAGCTCAGTCAGCTCGGCCTCAGTGCGACCAGTCAGCACGTTCATCTCGGCGTTAAAGTAGCAGGACAGAATGCCCCGGCCGGCCGCCTCAGACACCAGAGTTAGCACGGCCAGCATCGAGCCGTAGACGTCCTCCCAGTCCCCCGGCGGGCGCCGCTCGGCCAGCCACAGCAGCGCCGTCTTCAGGTAGTAGCTCTTGAGCCCCGGCAGGGCTCCCGCTCCCAGCGCCGCCTTGCAGTGTTTGAGCAGCACAAAGCAGTCGCGCTGGCGGTCGGTGAGGGCCCGGTAGACGGCGTACTCGTGCCGGGAGAAGGAGAGCCGCCACTGGTGTTCCTCCTGAGGGGTGCAGCCGACCGGTACCAGCAGAGCGGGTGTGGCGCAGAGGGCCCGCACCAGACCGGGCGGCGGCCAGTCAGCCGGCCTGCGCCGCGCGCCGTACTCCTCAGAGGGCCAGCGGCGCAGCGGCAGACACACCAGCAGGTCACACGGGTACGGCAGGTACGGCCGGACCGCTGTGGTGCTCGCCGGTCCGGCCCGCCCCGGCTCCCGGCCGCCGAACAGCGCCGGGTGGGCCCTCAGCAGGTCCCGGACCTCGGCGGCCGAGAACAGCGGCCGCTCCCGGTGCCGGCACTCCGCGTGCTGTTCGAACTCGAGCAGTACGAATCCCTCCTGCTGAGAGGGTCGCACCCACAGCCGTGTGGAGCCGGGCTCTGGGGGCACCTCCGCCTCCCCTGGCCAGCACACGTCCGCGCCGGCCAGCTCAAACATCACATCCAGGTCGGACTTTGTCTCTCCATCAATCAGCAGCACCTGGCTGCACTCCCGGCTGCTGCCGGAGAGCAGCACACGGCGCACGGCCAGCGCGGGCAGACGCTGACACACACAGTCCCCCGGCGACTCGGGAGGACGGAGCGGCACCGGCGGGCGGCGGGCGCCCAGCAGCAGGCACGCCACGCGCTCCACGGTGTCATCCAGGGTGGCGATGGCCGGCTCGTGGCCGCGGTTGACGGTGATGAAGGGGAGTTGGAGGGCGGCGGCCACCAGAGCGTCAGGCGGCAGCAGGGCGGCTGGGTCAGGCCGGCCGACCAGCCAGGCGCGGGCGGTCTCCTCCAGATGAGGTACAGACGGCCGAGGCCGGGGCACGGGCTGGTCTGCGGCCGCCATGGCGCCGCCACTCACGGAGAGATGGAGGGACTATGGGCTGCACGAGATCAGAGTGGGTATGCCATTGGACCAGAGGGCCAACCGTGGTGTTTCTGAAAGAGTGACAAAAAGCTGCTTTAACCATGGCCCACTTGCACGGTTAAAGGCTGACGCAATGCGTCTGCCAGCGCCCTGCCGATCGTACACGGAAGTCTGTTTAGATAACGAAACTGCAGCCGTGCAGGGCTGCAACCTGCAGGCTGCATCCTATGAAATGCTTGCGCTGGGACAAAATGCAATGGGTTTACGCCCAAGTAAAATCATGCTTAACTTGAAAAGTCACTCCAGCCAGGGCATGTCTAAAGCACAATTGAATCACCGGTAAAAACTGCATGCATAAACAGTAAAGCACCCACGACGGTACAGAGCTGCAGTCGCCCGTTTCAAATACCCATGAGTCACACCGTTTCCGGCATGAGTCACAAGCCCCACCCTAATTCCACTCTTCCCCTCCGGACTCACACATCGCGCAGACACGCCACTGATCGGGCTGGACACACAGTCACCGCCTCCCGTGCCGTCTGTCACACACTGACAGGATCACCAGCCCGGCCCCCCGACCAGTCACGGCGCCGCCGGGGCGTGCAGGCAGTGCCGTCAGTGGCTCAGTGCAGAGTGCACAGCCGGGCGCTCAGGGCCGTCCACCGCCCGCCGTCCGCTGCAGTCCCGGTGCAGTATCGGCCGGAGCGCCAGCCCCGGCGGGCGGACCGTGTCTCTCGCGGTGAGCGGTACTGAGCCGCACTTCTCTCAGTGGTGGAAGCGAGTAGGACCGTGTTTTGCTCAGTGTCTTGAGCGGGTCAAACCGTGGTAAGCTGCTAGCCTGTTTCGGTGACCGGAGCGGTTTGGGGCCGAGCCCGTCTCTCGGCGAAGGTAGAGGGCCAGGCCGTCCCTCCCTCAGCAGTCTAAGCGTCATGGTCGGGCTCCGTAGGACACTGCTCGCCCTGGCGGTGACGCAGCTGGCCCTGACCGCTGCTGAGGTCCGCCAACAGAGTGACGAGACCGGTCCGGAGCTGATCTGCTACTACGGCTCCTGGGCACGGCTCAGGGAAGGTGAGTGTGCCACTGGGGCTGCTCACGGGGTGGTGAGTAAAATAAACGAAATCAACGTTAGGCCGTGGTTCGTGTCACGAACTTGCCCCATGAAGTTGGTGGGGCAACCTAAATGCTGGCCATGCGAGCAGTCTGTTACTCGATGCAGCAGATTATCTATTGATTGAGAGAAACCTGATCCTCATCTAGGCAGCATTATGTAATGATAATCCAATCTCCTCTAAAAGTCTATAATATCTCCTCTCAGTCCTGCATGCTGACGCTATGTCCCTCTCCCCGACAGGCGATGGCCGCGTCACCATCGACCAGCTGGACCCGTCCCTCTGCACCACCCTGGTGTTCGCCTTCGCCCGGCTGGACGACCGCCACTGGACGCTGCTGCACTCGCTGCCGGACCGGCTCCTCTTCTACCGGCAGCTGACCAGGCTGCGCCGCCGTCACCCGCAGCTCCGCGTCGAGCTGGCCGTCGGCGGCTGGAACGACTCGCACAGCGCCGACTACGCCGCGATGGCCGCCAGCGGCGCCGGGCGCGCCGCGTTCGCCGCCAGCGCCGCCGCCGCGCTGCAGATGTACGGCTTCGACGGCCTCCACCTGGACTGGGAGTTTCCGTCGGGACAGCGGCAGCGGCGCGACTTCACGGCGCTGCTGGCGGAGCTGCGCGCCGCCCTGCAGCCGCGCCGGTACCGGCTCAGTGTCGCCGTGCCCGCCGGGCCGTACCAGGCCCGCACTTCATTCGAGATGGGCGCCGTGGCGCGGCTGGCCGACCGGCTCCTGCTCATGGCGTACGATCTGCACGGCGGGTGGACGCCAACCGCCGCCGACCACCACGCGCCGCTGCGGCCGCGCTCCACCGACTTCAGCGGTCTGGACGCTGAGACGGCGGTGCGTCTGTGGCGCTCGGCGGGCGCCTCTGCCCGGCAGATCGTGCTGGGAGTGCCGCTGTACGGCCGCGGCTGGGTGGTGGAGGATGTCGGACCGCCGCCGCTGCAGGCCAGGGGAGTGGCGCCGCCCGGACCGCTCACCAGGGAGAGCGGCGTCCTCAGCTACCTGGAGATCTGCTCCAACGTGCAGCGCCGCGGCTGGACGTCTCAACAGGTCAGTATGCGTGCAGAATAGTCTTTATCGGTAGTTTGCATCCAGTTATAGCGGCCGGCAAATCCTCCCTTCGGCCGGCAGGGTACGAAACTGTAGTCTTCTGCCTTATCCAGTCAGGACAGGGTGAGATTCCCCACTCAAGAACACCTGCCTTTCCCTAGATCAAGAGGGGATGTGTGTTTAGTGTTTACTGTAGCTATAAGCTGATTTACAAATGTCATGGTCAAGAGTAGAGCTGGGAATCCTCACCACAGTCAGGTGCATGTCGTGCAATCCTCCATGGCATAACTGGACTTCGCCACTAAGCCATATCAGTTCTTCCTTGCTGTAATAACAGATTGCCCTGCAGACCTACAGACCTATAAGTGAAATGATCTCGTTGCTGACCCAATTCGTGTTAGCGTTAGTACGCTTTCAGATCCAGATGGAGCTCAAGGTCGTCCCAAACCAGCGGCCCGCTGATCCAAAAGGTCCCCTTCTTCGTCACCGCTTTTCCCCAGAGAAGTTCAGCCCTCCTTGCCCGTAAGCTGCACGTTTACCAGCTCTATATCGCCCTCCACACACCACTGACCGTCCCACGCTTCCCCCCACAGCTGCTGGACGAGGGTCGGCCGTTCGGCTCGGCCGCCATGGGCGAGGGTCAGTGGTTCGGGTACGACGACGAACACATGGTCGGTGAGAAGGCCCGACTGGCCACGGAGCTCGGACTGGGGGGCGTGTTCGTCTGGGACATCGCCCAGGACGACATCAGGTGAGATATATCGAAAATGACGAACTCAGGAGATGTGTCACCCAGAATAGTGACTGTCAGGCGAGGGATATCATTGATGGAAGAAAAGGAAGATATTCGACATCACTCCTAAACGAACTGCAGCAAATAAGGATGCAGTCATCCCGAAAGCCACCTCTCGAAACCGGCGCCGATAGCGAAGCCACTTCTGGTTTATACCAGGAAGATTAACGAAAAGCTCGAAGTTTATTCGCCGTCCCCAATCCGGTGTCAACTTACATAGGCCAGCTGTGTCTATGGGCCCGTTGGAGCGCCTCCCACAGCCCAATCTGACCGTGTGCCCTCCCTCCGCCCGCAGGGGATTCTGCTCGCCGCGGCCCTTCACCCTGACCTCCATCATCAGGGAGACGCTGTCCAACCTGACGGAGCGAGCGGTACCGGAGGAGAGGGCTCCTTCCGTCCCGCTGGGCTCCAACAGTCTCACAGAGACGAACTGAGAGAGGCAGAGGTGCTACAGGAGAGGGCTCCCTCCGTCCCGATGGATTCCAACAGTCCATCCATTCTAACAGCCTCACAGAGACGCGCTGAGCCGGGTAGAACTCCCGCCGACCTTCACAGACATTCTCAGCCCGCACTGGAAGCATTATGTAGTGTCTCGTATGTACTCATCGTTATCACAAATACATCACGCTTAGTTAGACTCCGGCCGTGTTTATGTGTACTGCTATCGTTACTCAAGTCAAACTCCAAGTCTCTAGCATTCCGTGGCCCCCCGAATCCACAAAAATCCTGGCTGTGACGACTGCTGCTGCAACAGTGAAACCCGGCGTCAGTCGAGTGTGGCGACCCTCCCACCCCAGTCGCTCTCCCGTCCCGGCGACTCTCCCGTCCCGCCCAGTAAAGTCGGTACTCGGCAGATCAGTAGACTGGCAGTCGGCCCGTGACCGGCGACCGGTCGTATGGGTCGTCTCTGTCAGCCCGCGACCCTCCGATCGGACCCCGCAGTGAAAGGTGCTTATCGGTTGGTTTGGTAACCAAATCTGCAACCCTGGAACCGGTCGGCCGGGCAGGCATTGATCCATCCCGAAAGTATGCCCGTGTCTATCGAAGATCAACAGTCACAATATTCCAAGCTGATTTTATCACGCTGTCGTAACGACGGCTCAAAGAATACGCGACCGATTTAATCTGAAAAGACGGTTCAGAGCTCAAACTATATGCATATATTTGCCACAGCAGTAAAACAACCTCAGCTAACGGCGTAACAACTCAGCGCTGCCATTGCACAATGCAAAAAAGCCGGCCCTCAGAGCCGCCAGATTATGCTGAATCTAACACCGCAAACCCGCCAGCCTCATCGCCGGGTCCCATTGTGCATATGATCGCGGAAGCCACGCTCTATCACCAAAGGAATAATGGAAGTCCGATTGACTTGCACTAATTTAACAAGTGATAATATATAATATAGCATGTGGAATAAATAAAACAACTCAGATAACACACTAATCTTATTTATAAAATAAGCTTTTTAAAAATAAGGCGATCTGATCAAATCACAAGCGGATCACTAAAATAGCGCAAGGCACACTCCCGACTCCAAAGCCATAAATATCCACCTGAGACGAAGCGACGGGCCAGCCACCGTAATAAAGCGCCCCCACCACCGGCCCCACACAGCACGCGCTGACCCCAGGTCAGGTCACGGGTCACCCAGGGCCGTCCGCGCCGCCCGCACCAAACGGCCGAGACGGCACGGGCCCCTGGATAATCACTGGACCCCGCGGCCCGCACACACACACAAACTAGCGATCCAGCAATCAGCAGCCTGCTGGAACAGTGCCTACACACAATGCACTTGCATATAAGGCTAAATACTTCGATATCAGCCGCGAATTCGTTGACCCACAACCATCCTAGTAAAGCTGGAAATAAAGCCCGGACGCACCGGCGGCTGAGAAAAGCATCGAATCAGCGGAATAATACTTCAGCACCCCGCTGAGCTACATCAGCACATACAGGCGTCTGAGAGCCCAACTGTGCGCTAAACTGGCGTTAAATACAGCAGCCCGCTGCTACATACAGGGTGTCTCACAAAAAGTGTACACATTTAAAATGAAGATATTTCAGCATATAAGCACGCGCTCACGTCAAATTCAGGCTTAAATTGAAGCTTAGCTCGTGCAAATTTATTTGACATACAATTTGTTAGTGAGAGTCGGTAGAGTCATGAGACAGTTAAGTGAAGAGGAAAGGAAAATAATCGTGAAATTTTACCTTCAAACCGGTTCCCTGGTATTGACTCAGAGGAAATTTAGGGCTCATTTCCCTACAATAAGAGAGAAACCGCCGGCAAACACAATAAAACGGCTTACTGAACATTTCTTGGCTCACGGAACAGTCGGAAATCAAAACACTGGAAACAGCGGCCGCAAGATAACTGCCCGAACACCTTTGAAAATCGGACAAATCATTCGGCGAGTTGAGGAAAAGCCTGGAGTGTCCGTGCGGCACCTTGCGCAACAAGTTGGACTCAGCCGCTGTTCCACGCATCGGATTCTTAGGAAGGACCTGAAGCTTAAGGCATACAGGTTATCAACATCTCAAGAGCTTTCCAAGTCTGATTGCCTACAACGGTTGGAGTTTTGCCGTTGGTTTTTAGGAAAGTGCTCGTCTTGCCCTAGTTTCATCGGCAACATTTGGTGGTCCGACGAGGCACACTTTTACCTTCACGGCTTACCTAATCGTCGAAACCACAGGCACTGGGGCAAACACCCGCCAGAGAAGACTTTGGAAGTCCCATTACATTCTCCAAAAGTGACGGTCTGGTGCGCGCTTAGCGCCCAGGGCATAATCGGACCGATCTTCTTTGAAGACGGTGACGGAGAACCAGTGACGGTGACTTCAGACCGTTATCTGGCAGTGTTGAAGCGCTTTTGGCGGTCTCTCAACAGCAAGTGCGCGGACACCATTTGCCTGCAATGGTTCCAGCAGGACGGCGCTCCAGCGCACACGTCAAGAGCCACGCTGGCCTGGCTGACCGAGCGCCTGGGAAGCCGGCTGATCTCCAGGCGGGCCCCCCACAGCTGGCCACCCCACTCACCCGACCTCACCCCCATGGATTTCTATCTATTGGGGTATCTGAAGGATGTCGTGTACGTGAAGGCGCCGCACACGCTAGACGAGCTCAAAAAGGCCATCAGAGGAGCCATACGCGGTATAACCATGGAGACATGCGCCCGTGTAACTCAGGAGACCATGAGGCGCGCCACCACGTGCGCTGAGCGCAAAGGCTGTCATTTTGAGCATCTAAAAAAATGAGCGCATAGCTAGAGTATGGGAAACTGATTCGGTATGTGAATATAAAGACGTGCAAATGATATGCGAATAAATTTGCAAGCTTTGTGCTTTCCAGCGATATTTGTGTTTTTTACGTATGTTTTTAACTTACGGAGCTATTTACAAAACAAGTATGTACACTTTTTGTGAGACACCCTGTACTCTGAGCGAGGCTCAAGACCCTGTCAGCTAGATCACGGAACCAACATGGACCCACACGATCCTCTAACCCTTCTGCTAGCCGAACGGCGTCACGACCTGGGGTCCCGAGCTCCTCTGACCTTTTATCTACCACCGGGCACTCTCATACATCCGTCTCCTTCTCGGATCGTGTCGGGAGGGCCGCAGCCGCGACCGGAGGCCGCTCGCCACCCGCCTCTGTGAAGTAGGACCTCAGTCTCAGACTGTCCTCAGTTAGCGGCCCGTTCGGGGCGCCTCCTCCCGCGCCGTCCCGCGGCTCCGGCAGTTTGGTCGTCTCCAGGAATCGGTCCACGGCGGCGGCGGCGGCGGCGGCGGCCTCTCCGTCGGCGACCGGACGCCAGCCGCCGTTGGAAACGCCGACCGAGCTGGGGATAGTTCGCTCCGGAGACGAAGGTGCTGACGGCGACGAAGCTGGAAGCGATGCTGGAGTGATATTCGGTGACGAGGCTTCCGTCACCGGAGGTACGCTGTGTTCCGATGAAGATATGAAATACTCTGGCGGTGTTACTGTGTGCTCCAGTGATGCCATCGGGTGAACTGGTGGGGATACGCTGTGCTCCGGTGACGCTGAATTTTGCTCAGATGACGTCACTGAGTATTCTGGTGACGTCACTGAGTGTGTTGGTGACGTCACTGAGTGTCCCGGTGACGCTGTTGCCGATGATACCACCGAGTGTCCTGGTGTTGGTATTGAGTGTCCAGATGACGGCACAGTGTGCTCCATGCTGTGCTCCGGTGATACGTTTCCGTTAGTGCTCGCCTGGGTGTGCTGTGTCGGACTGGTAGCATTCACTGACGGATAGTTGTCGACCATTGAAGTCGCGTGAGCCATCCTGTGAGACGGCAATACATACGGACATCAGAAACTGTCTGCTTCAAAAGAGAAAATCGAGTGTAAGGCCTTAAATTAATCATAAGAATGGAGTCGGTAACTCTACTAGATTTAAGCTAGTTCCAAGGAAATCGACTATCCCTTCCCAGCACCAGCTCCTTGCCGCTATCCGGATATGAAGGACTGGAACCAGCGCCGGGCACTGGGCTGTGGCCGGACTGGCCGGTGCAGTCAGGCTCTGACTGCGGACGGCTGTGGACACTGCACGGCGCTGATACTGCACGGAGCTGTGTGTGTTCTCAGCACACGGAGCGGTCCGTGCCAGGGCGTGACGTCAGCTATGACGCAGCAGCTCCGGCGCACACACACTGCCAACCGTCCGTCCGGCCGGCCGTGCAGACCGTGGGACCGGCATACTGATCACGGTGGGGGTGAGGGGATGGGGTAACCGGGAAATGACCGGCAGTACACTTTACTGACTCCGAAGGTAGGAGAGCTGGGGGTTACCTACGCATGTACGAGTGGGGAACCTCCAGTCATGCTGAATCAATGACAGGGGATGGGTAAAACCAGCAAAGATCATGATACCTGACACCCGGAAAAGGCTGCGGATATCCACCCGGCGGAGAACCCAGGAGCGGCTAGCGACTACGGGACAGTGTTCGGCCCCGCCCGGACTCGGTCTGTTCCGGCTCTCTGCACCGGCTCCGTCTGGACGGTCCAGTAGGTACCCTCCCCCTTCTCCCTCCGTGATCTCGGGGGTTCCCGGCGGTGACTGGCCCGCCGGCCGGCCGGAAAGACCGCCCACCTGGCCAGCTGTCGTCACGGATCGGCTGCAGCAGCACCGGGTGGGCCCGTGCGTAGCCCAGCTTGCCTCAGATGGTCCGGAATGACAGGGGCTCGGAATAACTAACTGATAAGTCCTTTCTATCGTCACTATACAGATCGACTACTCTGAATACACTCATTATCCGCACTTAACTGATACTCAGACTGCAAAACGGCGTTTTAAGTGATCAGCCAGTAGCAACAAAACTCCCCTACCTGACTGCCAAACTACACCCACCCCGCCCCAGACCCGGGGTACTCACCCTGCGCTCCTGCTGTCCCCGCGGCCGATCTGACTCTGCAGGGCCGTCATCTCCTGTTTGAGAGACCTCAGGCACGCCTCCAGATGGTGCAGCGGCCGGGGCTCGGCACTGCCCGCGCTCTGAGCCAGCAGCCGACCGATGTGCTCCTCATCCACTGGTGAGGGAGCCGGCAGCTGGGGCAGCCGGGCCGAGCGCTGCAGCTCGACTATCTCGCCGCTCAGGGCCTGAGGAGGGACGGGGAGGGGAAGTTAGCTGAGCCCAGGTGTAGGATAAACACACCAGAACCAATAATGCGACTGGTTGTGTCGATCTCCGACCGTAAGTCATTTGAAAATGTTCCTGGCGATACTCTCCGCTGACCTAGAACTGATTCACTGACCTTGACCTCCGATACTGTCCGTTTTCTACTGACCTTGACCTGTGTGCTGCTGGTCTGCAGGGCGGCCCTCAGCTCGGTGACCTGCGCCTGCAGCGCGAACTTGTCCTCGCGCGTGGCGTCCAGAGCTGCGCTGAGCTGGCGCAGCTCGTCTCCGGCCGCCTGCAGGGAGCTGCGCAGTCCCTGCAGCTCCGTCTCGTGGCGCTGCTCGACCAGCGCCGCCTGCTCCCGGAGACCGGTCAGCTCGGCGCCCTTCTGCCGCAGGTGGCCGCTCAGCGTCTGTGACGAAGGGGAGGGCAAAGGTTAGGAACATATTGCCTGAAATTAGATTTTACACAGCCTTATGCCATTCTTATGCCATTCCAACAATGTGGATATAACAAAGACACATTTCATTCCAAACACCAATTGCCATGGCTGAGTTATCTCAGCACATATCATACCAGAACACAAGCCATTATGTTTTCACCCCTCTTTGAGCGCCCACCTTGATCTGCTGGGCCAGCACGGGGTCGTTGGCCGCGCTCTGCTCCGCCTGCCGCCGCAGCTCGGCCGTCTGCCGCTGACTGCTATCACAGGCCGCCTTCAGCTCCGTCAGCTGGCCGGCGGCGGCGGCCAGGTCCCGCTGAGCGGCCTCCAGAGCCGCCTGCCGCTCAGTGATCTGGGTCTGACGACTGGCAGCCAGGTCCTCAGCGGTCTGCAGGCCGGCCTGGAGACTGACCAGGTCCCGGCGGAGACCGGAAACCTCCCGGCGCTCAGCGAATAACTGCACGGTCACAAACAGACAAATCGTCAGACCCGTTTACAAGCGTGCTGGTGAGAGAACAGTCAACAGGACATCTCCACGCATACGATGTCAAATCAGATCTCCCTTATCCACCAGGCCCAACTTTAACAACTCACTCCACCTGTATCCCGTAACCCCCCTTCCCCCCCCCCCCAAGCGGCTCCCCACCTGTCTGCGCAGCTCCCTGCAGTCGAGCTGCTCCTGCTGCAGCCGCTGCTCGGCCAGCTCCAGCTGCTCCTGCAGACGGTGCTGCTGCTGCTGCGGTGTCTGCTGGCGCTCCGTCTGACGCTGCTCCTCAGCTCCGGCCAGCAGCGCCTCCAGCTCCGCGGCGCGCGCCTGCAGCGCCGTGTACGACTGCGCCATGCCTGCCAGAACGCGGAGAGACATGGTGTCAGGCACGGTAATACAGCCAACTCAAAGTCGCGGGGGAGGTTGATGCTGACGCGGGGAACGCGTTTAGTTTACGAATAACATTCCAATATACGAGATAAGTGCCTACTTTCTTTAAAAAAAAAAAAAAACAGATAATAACATTGTGGTTTACGGAGTTTCAGCAAACCGAGATAGAACAGATGCACACATAAACACATACATGATTGCACCATCTCAATCGTGATAACCGTACAAAGCTTGGAAGATAAACGAAAACAAAGTCTCCCTCACCCTGTTCTCCCACTAACCAAGAGAATGAAAACTCTGTCATCTCTCACCCTCGAGTCTGCCGCGCTCCTTTTCCAGTTCCAGCTGCAGCAGCTGGGCGTCGGCCGCCGCTCCGCGCAGCTGCTCCGCCTCCTGCTCGGCCCGCTGCGTCTCTCGGCGCGCCGTCTCCAGTTCCCTCCGCAGCTGCGCGGCCGCCTCCTCCCGCTCCACAGCCGCCAGACCCGCCTCAGCCGGCACCGGCGCAGCGGCAGCGCGGCGCTCCGCCAGCTCCCGCTCGGCCGTCTTCAGCGCGCGCATGTACTCGCGCAGTTTGCGGGTGAGCACGCGGATGTTGGACTGGTAGCAGCGATGGCGCTCCTTGTAGGCGGCCTGCGCGGCGGCCAGTTGGTCGGCCAGCGCGCCCCCGCCGGCCGCCGGAGGGGAGGTGGGCGGCGCGGGCACGCCCTCCGGCCGACCGGCAGCGGCCAGCTGCTGCTGCAGCTGCCGGTTCCGCGTCTGGCTGAGCTGCAGCTGCTCCTGCAGCTGGCGGCACTGCGCAGAGTCGGCGGCTCGGGCGCGCTGCAGCTGGTCGCTGAGGTCGGCCACGCGCGCCGCCAGCGCCGCGTGCTCCTGTCGCAGCCGCGGAGCAGCCTCGGCCTCCTGCAGCCGCCGCTCCAGCTCCCGGTTCTCCAGGGCGAGCAGACTGAGCTGGCGGCGCAGCGACTCGAGCTCGGCAGACTCCGCCGACTGCTGCTGCTCACCGCTCTGATCAGGCGTCCCCAGAGTCGGACTTTCCTCAGGTGGAGACACGACCTCAGCAGTAACGACCTCTGATGATTTAATCGGGCCCTTCTCCTCCTCCTGTTGGACGGGCTCGCGGTGTAGGCTCTTGGCGTATGTCTTGACCACGGCCAGCTCGTGCTGCGCCTTCTCCTGTTGTTCCTCCAGCTCTCGGATCCTGGCGTCCCGCTGTTTCACCGTCTCGGCGGCGGCCGCGTGCTGCTGCGCCGCCTCATTGGCCTGCTGCTGCAGCCCTCGCACCACCTCCTCCAGCTTCTGACGGCCCTGCTCGAGCACGCTGCGGTCCTGCGTCAGCTGTTGCACCTTGTAGCGCAGCTCGTGGTTCTGCACCATCAGCTGTTTGTTCTGCTCGTTCATCGTGTCAAAGATGTTCATCTTGTCCGTCATCTGTTCCGTTTGCAGTTTCAGTTTACTGGTCTCCTGCAGTTTATCGTTGGCAGTTCGGAGTTCGCTCTCTCGGCCGCTGAGGGATACCTTCAGTTCCGCGATTTGTTTATCCTTTGTGGCGACGTCGTTTTTCAATTTGTAGAAACTAGCTGAGACCTTTTTCAACTCGTTGGTGAGGCCGCGTGCTGCCTCGTCCACGTCCCGTTTCTCCTGGTTGGCGGAGGCCAGCGCCACCTCCAGGCGCGTCTTCTCCTCCTTGAGCCCCTGTTTGGCGGCGGCGGCCTCCTTGGCCTGCGCGCGCAGCTGGTCCAGCATCTGGCCGCCCTCCAGACAGCGCTGCTGCAGCTGCTCGCACTGAACCGTCTGCTGCGAGAGCTTCTCGTGCGCGGCGGCCAGCGCGAACCTGGTCTTCTGACCGTCCTCCTCCAGCTGTTGGTGGGCGGCGGCGGCGGTGGACAACTCCTCAGCACCCCGCTCCAGGCGCTGCTCCAGCTCAGCTATGGTCAGCTCCAGGGCGCGCGTCCGGCCCACGGCCTCATCCCGCTCCCGGACAGCGGCGGTGGCGGCGGCGGGCGCCGGCTCCGCCCGGCTGCCCGACACCGTCTGGAAGAAGGCCTCGCGCTGCAGCATGTCGGCCTGGATGTTCTCCAGGTGCCGCAGCAGAGTCTCCTTCTCGCGGACTGCGCGCGCCTGCGCACCGGCCGCCGCCTGGCGCGCCAGCGTCAGCTCGCCGCGCAGCCGCTCGCCGGCGTGCTGCTGCGCGATCAGCTCCTGCTGGGCGGCCAGCAGCTGCTGCTGCTGCTGCAGCCGCGCCTCCTGCGAGGCCTTCAGCTGGGCGCGGTACCAGTCGCGGGAGCGCTGTCGCTGCTCGAGCTCCTCGTTGGCCGACTGGACCGAGCCCTCGGCGCGCAGCTTGGCCTGCAGCTGGCGCTGCGCGTCCACCACCAGTTCAGCCACCTTGGCCTTCAGCGCCGACACCGTGGCGTCGCGGCTCTCCAGCTCGCGCCGCGCCGACTCCAGCGCCGTCCGCTCAGCAGCCGCCGCCGACTCGCTGCGCTTCAGCTCGTCCCGCGCGGCGTCCAGCTCGATGGCGCGCGTCTCCAGCTTCCCAGCCGCCTCCGCCAGCTGCGCGTCCAGCTCTCGAGCGCGCACACGCAGCAGGCCGGCCTCGGCGGCCAGCGCGTCCCGCTCGGTGCGCAGCGAGCCGGCGGCGGCGGCGCGCAGCTCCAGCTGCTGGCGGCTGACGGTGTGGCGCAGCTCGGCACGCTCAGCGCCCACCTCCTCGAGCTCAGCGCGCGTCATCTCCAGCACACCCTCGAGGCGCGCCTTCTGCCGCTGCACCTCGAGCTGCTGCCGCTGTCCGCCGCCGCTCAGCTGACCCTGCAGCGCCTCCAGCTGCTGCCGGTACAGCTGCCGCTCCTGGCTGGCGTGCTGCAGCTGCAGCTGCAGCCGGTGCACCTGCAGCTGCAGCTGCTGCTGCTCCTCGGAGGCCACCGCTCGGTCGGAGACAGCCGGCGCTGGTCGGCGCGGACCCGGGACCGGACCTCCGGCCTCCACCGGCGCGGTGGGGTCTCGCAGCACGCTGCGGAGTCTCCACAGGTCCTCCTCGAAGCCGCTGATGTCCGACCAGCTGGACTCGGCTGACACCACCGATAGACGGTCGTCGTCCTCGTCCACAGCTCCGCCGTCCGGCGCGCCGCTCTCGGCAGTCACTGTGGAAGCGTCTGAGCGCGCGCCGCTGTCAGCCTGCACGCCCCGAGGGGCCTCCGAATCGCTCGGGTGGTGGGCCACCGTTTTCACGTGGACATTGTGAGAAGCCGGCGCCGTGTGCTGTGAGAGGAATGATTCGGGACTGCAGCCGGTCTCTGCCGCTCGCTGAGCTTGCAGAACCGCCGGGGGTAGCACCTCTTCCGCAGGAGACAGCGGCGGTGAGGACGGCGCCGGCAGGGTAGACATCAGCGGGGTACTGCTCAGAGCCGGGACGATACACCCCTCGATGGCCTCCAGTTGTCCGCGACTGGTCTGTTTCGGGGTCGCCGATTCCGGGGCTGAGGCGGGAGCGGCACCGGAGTGGGAGTCGCCGTTCGCCGCTTTGACGGAGTGCGGCGCGCCGTTCGGTTCTGATGTCGGTCCCATCTCCGCCGCGACCGTCCTGCCCGGGGAACGGTCGGGGGCCGGAGCGGGAACGGGGACGGCGCCGCGGCGATCACTGACGATCTGAAGCAGGTTCCGCGGATACGGCTGCAGACTGCGCCCCTCCAGAGTCTGCGGCGCCGACGGGGATTGAGGAACTGGCGGTGCGGACGGCGGGCCAGACCGACAGAAAATGGAGCTGAGGCCAGCCGGCAGCAGTAGACTGACGGCATCATTGGCTGGCATGAGAGCCATTTGTTGCTGCTGCTGTCCAAGATGCTGGTGAGGTGTCTCAGGCTGGTCACCCTTATCCATGCCAATGGCAGTGACTGGCATCTTCATCAGGGTGTCCTCAGTCAGGTGCGGCTGCTGCAGTGAGCCGGGGGCCGGCCTCTCCACCACTGCGTGGTGCACAGACACCGGCTGGCTACGGCCACCACCAGGCATCTCAGCACTTCTACAGCCACCAGTTCAAACACTGTGGAAAGAAAACATATCAGATTACTTGCTTCTTTGATTGTACTTATTGGCTCACAAGTGAACTGTAATCGCCATGCCCCACGTGGATTGTCCATGATGGTAACACATACATACATACATAAAAACCGCATCATAAGAATGGTGCTGACCAAATGCAAGGGAACTTAATGCATGATCTCATGAAAACTTATTATGTCTCTCACATATTGTGTCATGTCCATTGCCCTGTTTCAGTTTCACAGTCCCTGCCAGCGCTCCGCCAGCACACGTGTCAAATTGGGTTTCCATAGAGACATCAAAAACTTATCTCTAAAATAACCTCAATCTGCGATTTCAGCTTGTAAAATGCGCTGGCAGCGTGTGGCAGTGGCCGTGAAACAGGGCCCATAACAAAATGGATAACTTACCCAAAAACAACAACCCAAACCACTACATCAATTAAGCCCAGCCCACCCGCGGCAACTAACCTACAAATTCAAGCACTGAGACAAATAAAGACGCCAAAAAACACAAAAATTGTAATAATTTGCATGCTTTGATCAAAAATTATCACGGGTAAAATCAGTGTTTTACCCTAAACCCCCTAGACCCCGAAGACGTCAATTGAAACACCTGCGCCGCTTACGAACTAACTAGTGTAAACAAATACGTGGATTGGTTGAAGAAAAACGCTGCAAAACTATCAAGCAAGGTTATAAAACGATTTGAAAAACGTTTTCCAAATATTATATCATTGCAGTGTATTTCAAAAAATAAACTTAATTATTTCAGTTGCTGTAATGGTTTCATTAGGTAAAAGCAAGGCGGTAAAAGCCAAAAGGCATGTTTTCTTGTTTATTGGAATTTTCGCAGTATCGCACCTTGGGCATTACTACTTACCTACAGATCAATTTCGCCTTTCAAATACTTTCCTTGAACTTGATTGAACATTCCCTTGTTTTTTTATAATTGTTTTCACTTAAACGTCGATTTTTTGGGGGGGAAATCTCATTTATTGAGCATAGGTGATATCAGGTGATATAGCATGGAAGTGTGATATGGCAGTGTTTTAACTAGGAGTTACACCCACTTGCACCTTGCACCCTATTTTACACCCTTTGCTTTCTGTTTACACGTGTTACAGGTGCTTTTTTACCAGGGTATATTGAGTTTCTTTACGACATTTGGTTCACACGCCTGGGGATCACACCAATTTCACGCCAACTACTAAGGAAAACTTGCTTGTCGGTATCAGCATATCAGGTGTTTCTAACATTTGTATTTCAATTTGTGATTTGTGAATGGTGATTCTAATTTTGTCAATTTTAGATGTTTTTGTGTTGCTGTATCATTACTACTAGATATGTTATGTTCATTTTTATTTTACATCACATTCTATACAATGTCTTAGTGCTACTTGTATGATAAGGCCTGATGCATAAGCACTAGGCTGTGTAAACCATAAGCTTTTTGTCTTTCAGATCTTGGGCACTACATCTAACTCGAAATGACAGGGGATGGAGCTCAAGCAAATATAATGGTGAGTTCTCCCCTGTGTGGTAAGCAACAAAGCATTTTGCAATGGGTGATGTGGATGGTACCCCAGGTATATGCTGTAGTGTGTAAGATTATTCAATATGGGCAAAATTCCGTTTCTTTGGCCTATCACTATTTGTTTCTGACTGTTGGCAGATCGGCATTATCGGCGGCTCTGGGTTCTCTGACCCTAGCGCGCTAGGAGTGGAGGACGCCAAGGACGTGGAGTATGACACGCCATTCGGAAAGCCTTCCAGTCCTCTGCTGACAGGCACGCTGTGTGGTGTACCTGTGGCCGTCCTGGCCAGGTGGGTGCTGGCACACATAAATGGATACCTATCCAATAGGCATTTGTTGATGATGGCAACATTGTGCATAAGGCAGTTGTCACAACAATGTATGGGTGCCACTCACTGCCAGGTGGTATTGCACAGCGTTCACAGTACTTTTTTGTGGTTGGTGTTTTGTCTATTTGTGGTTGAAGAGGTAGCATGATTTGCCGATCAACTACTTTTCATGCATATTACTCAGCTCTCGCTCTCCTGTGACGGTCCACTGCGCCCCCCAGACACGGCCGGCGCCACACGATCCTGCCGAGCGCCGTCAACTACCGTGCCAACGTGTACGCCCTGCACCGGCACGGCTGCACGCACGTGCTGGTCTCCACCGCGTGCGGCTCGCTGCGGGAGGAGTACCGTCCCGGCCAGCTGGTGCTGCTCGATCAGTTCATCGACAGGTCAGTCGGACAGACGGGTTGAATACGAGAGGAGAAACACCTACATCGATAGATCAGATTCATCAGCGTATTCCCAGCTACACTCATCGCCCGCTGTTTTTGTATATTGCTGCCTACCTTCTAATCGGATGACCAAACGACCCGGTGCCCCTCCCAGGACGACCAAGCGTCCGCTGACGTTTTTTGACGGCTCGTGTGACGAGTTTGTCGGCATCTGCCACCTGCCGATGGCCGACCCGTTCTGTGGAGAGACCCGCGGCGTGTTGCGAGAGGCCGCCAAGGAGCTCGGCATCACCATGCACGATAAGGGTGAGCCGACCGCGCCGGCTGTCGTGGTCATGGGTGGGATATTTTATCTAGATGTGCATCTCCATCGGTTATAAATATGACACCAATTTACGGGTGACTATGAACTGCACTGTTTTCTTCTACCAGGCACCAGTCATATACACCGATGCATTTGGCAGAGAACCTGCAGGTGTAATTCCTCGCCTTCGCCTTTTACCAGTGTACTGAAAATAGATGTTTTTATTTGTGCTGTTTTCAACGAATGAATGTATTGCGTCATTTTCTGATTAGCGTCTGTTTGCTCGTTCTTCTCCCTCCACTGCCGTTCCTCCCTCCGTGCTGGCCGTTGACACCCTCTCACTCTTGTCCCGTACCGTTCCGGCAGGCACCATAGTCACCATCGAGGGCTCCCGCTTCTCCACCCGCGCCGAGAGCCACATGTTCCGCAGCTGGGGCTGTGACGTCATCAACATGACCACCGTGCCGGAGGTGAGGTGCCCAATCCAACATTCACCAAGTCATGTGGACATCATATAACATTTACTCCGTTTTTTCGCCTATTCGAGCACTGCGTCTTTCAATAATATCGATCCAGATTTCTAAAAAAAAAAAAAACAAGTGTGACTTCTCTGCTGGTTAAATCTCTCAACCCAAATTCTCTAGTGAACCTCCATGCATGTATCCGTGGCTCTAAGTTGCTGTGTTTTGCGGTCGGACTTTAATACGACCTGCGCACGTTTCCCTAACATCTCCGCCCTGCCGTCCTACAGGTAAGATTAGCCAAGGAGGCCGGTCTATGCTACGGCTACCTGACATCCCTGCCGTCCCACAGGTGACATTAGCCAAGGAGGCGGGTCTGTGTTACGGCACCCTGACATCCCCGCCGTCCCACAGGTAACCCTGGCCAAGGAGGCCGGTCTGTGTTACGGTACCCATGCCCTGTCCCACAGGTAACCCTGGCCAAGGAGGCCGGCCTGTATTACGGTACCCTAACAGTTAACACCTCTGTCCTGTCCTACAGGTGACATTAGCCAAGGAGGCGGGTCTGTGTTACGGTACCCTAACAGTTAACACCTCTGCCCTGTCCCACAGGTGACCCTGGCCAAGGAGGCGGGTCTGTGTTACGGCACCCTGACATCCCTGCCGTCTCACAGGTGACATTAGCCAAGGAGGCCGGCCTGTGTTACGGTACCCATGCCTTGTCCCACAGGTAACCCTGGCCAAGGAGGCGGGTCTGTGTTACGGTACCCTAACAGTTAACACCTCCAGCTCCGTCCTGTCCTACAGGTAACACTAGCCAAGGAGGCGGGTCTATGTTACGGTGCCGTGGCGATGTGTACCGACTACGACTGCTGGAGGGAGGGCGAGGCAGGGGTCGGGGTCGGAGACGTGATGGCCACCTTCAGGGCCAACGTGTCCAGCGTGGTGCGCCTCTTCAAGGAGGCCGTGACCCGCGTGGCCGCCAGGGACTGGGCCGAGACACTCCAGAAAAATAAGGTGGGTGTGGGATATGGGGTGTGGAGAACGAAAACTTGGAGCGTCGGTTTACATATATCGTCATTCGTCATTGTGTCGATGTTACCTTGTGCTCGGCTGTTGGCTTCGATATTCTGTTGCACCAGTTCGATGTTACGGTAGCTTGTCATAATAACTGCGATGTAATTATATCGATGTAATTATGACCAGTGACCACCCCTAGCTGAGCTGAAAGTGTGCGGTGATTGCGGTCTTTTATGAAGACCCACTAACCGTCCGTTTTCCATCCCGCAGGAGACGGTCACTTCCAACGTGATGCTGCCCAGCTGAGCACTGGAGCTGGGCCCAACCTGAACGGTCACTGGCCGCAGCTGAGCGCTCAGTGACCTCGGCTGACCTCTCAGTGACCTCAGCTGAGCGTTCAGTGACCTCGGCTGACCTCTCAGTGACCCCAGCTGTCCGCCGTCCCTGATACCAGCTGACCTCTGGCTCATATCCGGCGGACTCGGTCGGTGGGACTGCGGCTGCCAATGTAGACGGGATAGATGACTCAGTGCTAGCGGCATTTGGCTGTGTTGGTACAGCCTTATTTGACGGGTTGCTATTTTACAGAGCTTTCGTAAAAATTTGGGTGGATTTGCGTAGTTGCGCGCTTATAAGCATTGGTATGGAAGATTCGTTTAGTCCAGTTTGTGACTTTGTGCGTAGTCGAGCGCACAGTCTTTTTTTTCGGGTGATTTGCCGATCATTGTGAAAGGAGAATCTCCATGTGAAGAGAAATATTGTTTTTTATTCCATTCCAGAACTTTGTTATTGTTACGCATACTCTTTCTACATGGAATATTTTGATACATTGCCGCTCGTGTAACATTTTTGGTGATTCAATATCACAACAGCATTCGCCATTACAAAGCTGTGCATTGTAAAACGTGTGTGAGGATCGCTTTTTGTTCAAATCTTTTCGCAGTGCTGTGGGAATAAACCTGCTTGCATTGAGATGGTTTCTTGCAGCGCTCTGCCTGTATTATGCTTTTCTGGTTTTGCAGTGAGCTGCAGCGGAGATTCGGCGGAATAATGTCATTATGTAATCCGTTATGTCATTTCTCCCAATATTGTCTATGTGGCTGTGATAGGTCGTCGCCCGCCGGTACTCGGTACGGAGCTCTCCGTGAAACGGACGCCCGAAGTGTCGCGGCCTTGGCCACGGTGACCTTTCATAGGTGCTGCTTTGCACCTGCAGCTCTACTCTGTGTGACGCGAGCTACCAGCGTCGATGCTGCCCTTCATTTTCTCTTTAGGGGCTGGTAGTGGTACACCTCGGCAGTCTAAATCGAGCCCTCATCAATAAGATGATACCTGGCCTGGCCCTCTGTAATGAATGAGCTACCGCTATGGCTATATAGGCTGTGAGCTACCAGCAATGCCCTGTGCTATAGCTCATCGTATTCATACAGCCGTATGAGCCGTGGCAGGCGTGTACACGGTATCAGGTATATGGCTTTGATTTTGCCGGTCTGTCAGTTTTTTTTCGGAACATATCTCATATGCTAGCTATAAGAAAAAGGGCATATCTTTCATTTGCAATACGCTATTCCAAAAAGCAATCCAAAATTCATGCAAAATTATAAAGGGGTATGTTTTGTACAACGGCACTAAATCCTTCAACGAGTAAAACATTCCTTCACGCTCATCTACCATCAAATGTGCTACCAAATTCATGCCTAGCTGCCGAGTTTCGCACTATCTTCATCTGCTTTTGTACCAAATTCATTCAAAAGGCACCTAAATGGCGCTGCGGTCTGTGTCGTGCTCGGATTCTTTTTGCTTAGATTTTAATTGTTTTATGTCCACAGTAACTACAAAGACATTACACATCAAATTTGTAATAGGCTTTCATGATTTAGTACAATTGAACTCAATTTCGGATAAGCTTTTTGCGAATTTGACGAACATTCTATTCATCAGCATTCAGGCCTTGAATCTTGATTTACTGAATCTTGATTGAATCAGATTTGAGCTGGAGCTCAAGCTCATTCTGAGGCTGCCTTGCTTGCATTTTTCTTTTCAGTACTTTAACGTTTTACACTGGTAATGTGAAAGAATGACTAATGGTAAATGTTGTTTTTGGTCATTTCCATACCCATGACAATGATTTTATGACATGACCAGCGTCTGCCGTCCCAAAATTATATTTCAGCTTCAACTTGGGCGTCAGAGGGGAAAATCAATTTGGATGTCATTTCCCACCCAAATCTACAAATTTTGGGATTCAACTTGACTCAGAAGTCAGACTTGATTGGTTCAAAACCAGAGCTCTGTTCAGTTGCTGTTTTTAATCAGCATGCTGTCTGTTTTTCCATATAAAGAAGTTATGGTATTAGTAGAGCAGACGTTACACGAAGGTATTCCAACCAAAGAGAGGCGCCATACCCGGTGCTTCTTTCTAGGAAAACTTACGTCCTAACCTAACCTACAACCTACAAACCTACAACCTACAAACCTACCCTACAGCCTACAAACCTACAGCGCCTCTCCTCAGTTGGAAAACCTTCGTGTGACGTCTGCTCTACTAATGCCGAAGTTATTGCTGGTGCTTCTTGGCCTCTCATCAGTCAGATGAAGAGACCAAGTGAATTTTACCAATGAGGAGCCAAGAAATAGCAGCATGCTCACAGCCTGCTGATAATAAACTGGTAGCGAACAGCGCCCTGGGCACTGTTTGGTCACAGCGTAATGGGGACTCCGCGGGGGGACAGGCCTAAGATCTGTGTGAAAGTGGTGAATGACGTGAGCGTATGTTTCTTTTATGCCCATCTACCTACGTATCGCATTGTTTTTACTTCGTGACTTACGACACGGAACAGCCACTACTGTGTTTGTGGAGTGTCGGCGATTGTCAATACAGTTCTTTATATAACTTCCAGCAATAACTTCCGTATATGGGGATAACCGAGAGCACGCTGATATAAAAACAGTGACTGAACAGAGCTCAGGTTCCACCAATTCATGATCAATCAGGATGGCTCTGTGGATTATAGTCTTGAACTGAACCAACCTTTGGGCTTTGGTGATCAGTTCAAGTTGAGACCCCATAATAGGATATGACTGTCAGTTTGTGGTATTTTCCATTTCTTGCATGTAAAAATAGTTTCAAATGTTTCACTTCCAAGTTTCAGGCTGCTCGCCTTGGCCCTTAGGTGCATAATTAGAACTGAATGGACTGTAGGACGTAGGTTGAGGTAGTTGAATAGTTGAGATGTGCAGTAAACTATTAGTATAATATTTTCAGTAAGAAGGTCAGTACCTAGCTACTTACTTGTATCATGAATCATGACTTATTTACCTACAGGCATCCATTTACATATACTTTTAATTTCAGGTGAATATGTGTGTCTATTTTGAAGCTTGACATATTTTTAGTTGTTTGCACTTTCTTCCACTTCAAAAATTAAAATGGTCTTCCTTGAATTTGATGATGAGGTAAGTCAAACCTTCCAAAACTGTTACTTTAAATCATTTGTAAAATCAATTATATTTATGTGCCTGAGTTCTGCAACTGTTAGTGATTGTCAATCACTAACAGTGACAGTACTCAATGCTTTTAGCATGCTAAGCTCTGTCTTGCACTATTCACTATTGTCAAAAAGCAGTGTTACTTATTGGTCATTAGCAGCTGTGTTTCTGGATAATCACAGGTTTAAATTGGTTTGTGCATCTGTACTTTTAGTTGCCCTAGGCACAACATCATTGACTCAAACACCCTACTGGCCCTCAGCCGGAGCTTATGCAGAGTGTGTTTCGCGGCGACCTGGGAGAGGTCCTGCAGGTCCTGCTCGATGGCGGGGACGCCAACTATCAGGTGAGACAGATGGCTTTCCCTCAGCTTTGCCAGCTAGGCTGGTACATCCTGTCAACCACCTAGAGAAGTGGCATACCTACTTGAATGATATTGGGAAGAGATTGAGTGCAGAGCAGAACAAAGCTAATGGATGTGACACAGAAGACCAGCAACCTCACCACCCACTTGCTTAACTCACAGACTCGAAGGCTGTCATCGCTGTATATGTTAGCCTCCCCTCTCCCTCAGAACTAGGGCCAAGTTCCTCAGCTATGGCAGTACCAAACCAACCCCTCTCATCTAACAGTGTCTCTGTGTCCCCTCAGGACGCTGAGCAGCGCACCCCGCTGCACGCGGCCGCGTTCTGCGGTCACGCTGAGATTGCCGAGGCGCTCCTTCTGAACGGGGCGCGCGTCAACGCCAAGGACAGCAAGTGGGCCACCCCGCTGCACTGGGCCTGCCTCCAGGGACAGTCGGTCAGTGTTGGACGGCCGGAGACGCCGCTCGGACTACTTCACAGTTTTCTCAGTTGGAGACGCCACTCCATGACTGTCTTCTGTAACAATTAATGGTTGTTAACCGATTCTGTCAAATATTTCATCGTTGTCATTTAAATGAGGGAGCGTTTGGACGCTCATTTGGATCTGTTGCATTCTTTGATACTTATCAGCTGGGCTTTGGGTCGTTATTTGGTGTCGTTCGGAACAGACGGCGATGGCGTTTGTTACCCACAGTGTCTGGTAAATGGAGTCGTCAGTATCTCTCCAAACACGGTCGCAGTGTGTAGCGCTGGTCGGTCTGTGTGTAGTGTTACCACACACAGACATCCGTGGTAGGTACATAGCTGTGTGCGGTCCGCCGTGAGCCGCCGATCTGACGCCCCCGTCCCGACCTCGGCAGGGGGCGGCGCTGATGCTGCTGCAGCACGAGAGCGACATCATGGTGCGGGACAAGCTGTGGCAGACGCCGCTGCACAAGTGCGCCATCTCTGGCGCCGTGGAGATTGCTGAGCTGCTGGCCGACCTGCTGAGTACCGTCAGTACCACGGACCGCGCCGGCTGGACGCCGCTCCACCACGCCGCCTACCACGGGCGGGTCGAGGTCAGTAACCCACCTACCCACCCACCCACCCCACCGCGCCGGCTGGACGCCGCTCCACCACGCCGCCTACCACGGACGGGTCGAGGTTAGTATAGGGCCCTACTGGTGCGGTATGATCTTTGGTGAAGGGGAACCGAGAAGAAACACGTCTATAACGGTGGGTCGTATAGTAAAGAGTATAATTACTTTACTAGCTTATTTTGACGGCTGTAAAATGAACCCAGTATCACTGTTGGTTTTACGTTTCTTTATGCATTTTTAACCAACGCGCCGGTAATTTCATGACGCCGTGTGCGTACCTGTCCCTACCCTCCTCTGGCTTGCCTTGGTCCCCTCCTGTCCCTCCCTGACCGTGTCACGCCTGACCGCCCTGTTTCGTTGTGTGCCGGCCCTGCCCCGCCTCCGCCTCGCCTCCTTCCCGCCTCCGTCCCGCCGCTGATCCGCCTCCCCTCCACAGATGGTGCAGCTTCTGCTGGATCGCGGCGCCGCCGTGAACGCGCACGACAAGCGCGGCCGGCGCGCGCTCCACCTGGCCGCCAGCCAGGACCGAGAGCGGGTCGTCAGACTGCTGCTCGACCGCAACGCGGACGTCAACGTCGGAGACAAAAAGGTCAGACCGCCGGAGACGAGTGTTGTGCTGCCGGAGACGGGTGTCGTGCTGGGAGAGACGTGGCTAATTTCAGAGCCCAGAAACGACAGCAGCGGAACGGAAGTGACAGTTTAGACAATGATACGAACTGATGTTTCGGTCGCTTTGATTTGATGTTCATAAAGCATCCACATTGATAGAGGCTATAAGGAGGCTGAAATACTTACATAACGTGCAAAAACGCACAAATACTTAAGTGACTTGGACAATCATTTTTCGATTGGGTAGCCACAGCGAACTTGCTGTTCAGTCAAGTTCTTTGTTTGGATACTGTAACGCTCCCTGTTGAGCTTATTCAGACTGGGCCTGCATCACAACCTGCCTGGCAATGTGTCTACTCATACCGACTGTATGTAGTCTGGTGTGCCGCCACTTCTCTGACCGCCCGTCCTTTGTCCGCCCATGTCCAGATGTGCACCCCGCTGCACTGTGCGGCGGCCGCCGGCCACGGCTCCTCCCTGGACCTGCTGCTGGCGGCGCCCGGCGTGGACACGGGGGCGGCCTGCGCGTCCGGTGGTACCCCGCTGCATACGGCGGCTGTACACGGACAGCTGGACACTCTGCGGTGTCTGCTGGCGGCCGGCGCCAACGTGCAGGCCACCGACCGCCGCGGACAGGTGAGGGAGGTCCACCGACCGGCGGGGGCAGGCGAGAGAGGAGGAAGGACAGAGAGAAATGGACAGACCACCGACTGGATGTCAGATGGGAGGGAGGATAGGGATGCGACCGACTGCTTGGAGCAAGCCAGACGGGAGACGAACACGGTCAGAGTCTCGGCTGACCTGGTGACCCGATTTACCGCTCTGTGGCCTGCCGCTCCCCTGTATCCGCTGCCTGCTGTCCGGATGACCTGACCTGCCCCTCCGCCCTTCGCTGCGCCTCAGACGGCGCTGCACCTGGCCGCTGCCACCACGCGCGGTCTGGACTGCGTCAAACTGCTGCTGAGCCGCGGCGCCGACCCTCGCTCGGCCGCCGCGCCGGCCGGACTGACACCACTGCATATGACGGCCATGCACGGCCGGTTCCAGCGGGCCCGGCTGCTGCTCAACAGAGGTGGGTCCGCCCAGAGGCACTGTCGGAAATAGAGTGGCGTTGTGGTGGGAGGGAGAGTATGTGTCTCCGGACTCCGGAGGCAGTTATCAGTCTGATGAAAGAGGAGGGCGATGTTGCAACGTGAGGCTCTACCGCCTTGAGCGAGCTCTCCTTGGGACTAGCTCTTATAAGTTACTAGCTCTTTTAACATTAGCTTTTACATCACTAGCTCTTTTGTAGCACTAGCTCAAACGTACTAGCTCAAATGACACTAGCTGTTTTGTCGCTAGCTATTCGGACACGAGGCCTTGAGCGAGAGATGTGTTGAATCATAGTCCATAGATCGTGGGCCGTTTCCATTGGTGTACTTAGTTATATTCCGATGACATAGCGTCAAATTACTATTAAACAAGGGCCATGCAGTGTCTATTTATTCATGATCTGCAAGCAATGTTCAGCTTGCCTTTATGTTCGACTTATGATTTCTGTCTCGCGTTCTCCCCATCGCTTCCCCTTCGGTCTTCATGTTGGACTGCCGATTTCTACCTCCCTCGCTCGCCGCCAGGCGCCGAGGTGGACGCGTTGGACGCCCGCAGCTGCTCCCCGCTCCACCTGGCCGCCGCCTGCGGGCACGACGTCCTCGTGAAGACGCTGTTCCAGCACGGTGCCGACGTCAACAGAGCTGGACCGGACGGTAAGTGGCAGTTCTAATTACGACGAACGGCGACTTCAGCTCGGGGCGAACGGCACGTTTAATTGTAGATCTATCAGTTCATGCGATCGTCGGGGGAATTAACATTGCTGCGACCGCTTCAGTCCGTTAGAAGACCAACTACGAAGCCTTTGTGCTTTAAGTTATGACTGTTTTTGCATGAATATATGTCGTTAAACCATTATCCACCGCCTCCCTCCGCCAGGGATGACGCCGCTGCACCTGGGCGCACTGAACGGGTTCACCGCCTGCGTGAAACAGCTGCTGGAGCTCGGCGTGGACATCCGGGCCACGGACAGCCTGGGACGCACCGCGCTCCACCTCTCCGCGCACAAAGGGTATGTACCGAGCGCTGCACGAGGCGCGGGCCAGACCGGCGATATTCTCAGTGTGGTCATGGGGTAGTCGGACCATCAAAACTTTCCAACCTGATCAGTATTTTCCTGCCATTTTCCCGCGCTTCTTCCATATTTAATTTGCTGATCGCCTCCCGTTAATGGTTGGTTTTGATCTAGGCGGTAATTTGGACCTGGCTAAATGAGAGTCTTCTGGGGCTTGTTTTTGTCAGCTACCTAAATTGCTAGCTTACAAGCACCGTTTCCGGCTGCATTCCTTTTTACAAAGCCCGCATTTCCGGTGCTGTGGGCGAGTTCCCACCAGTGCTGTCACCGGCGGACCCGGGGACCTCTCTGTACGGCCGGCCGGCCGCGGAACTTTGTCCGCCCGCGGGGCCCGGGTGGGGCGGAGGACTGGCAGTTCCGGGTCGCCCAACCAACGGCTGTGAGCCGCCGGACTTGGACCGGCGCCCGGCCGGCCGGCCAGCGCCGCCCCCCCGGGGGTACGAAACCATCGAAAGGCGCCGGGTGACGACAAACTTAGTGATGGAGAGGGCGGCCCGCTGGACATTAGGACCGGGAATGGGGGTCTTTGCCGCGGCACGATCCCGAAACCAACTCCAAACGGTTTGTACCCAGTGGCGCCCGGTTCACGAACCGCCGCCGAGCTACTCACGGGGTAACCTTGGATATAGCCTGTCAGCAGCTGTCACACTACCACACCTCGGCTCCCCCGTGGGTAGTTCTCGGGCATGAGCGGTGACCTCTGCTGGCGCTGAGCGCCCGCCTGATTGGTGCTGTCAGCGGCTGGGCTGTCCTGTCAGCGGCCTGGCTGCACTGTCAGCACAGTGAGGGTGACGGACGGCCCGTGACAGCGTTACTCCACGGCCAGTAACGGCCGTATATGACCCGCGGCGTCCCCGGCCGGCCGTGCCGCTACTCCGAACCACGCTGCGCCATGAATACATACTCTGCGGGGTTGTGATATAGCGTAGCTGACGAAGCGCCGTACGGCTGAGCTGTGGGTATTTCTAGAGGTGGGCTCGGTGTGTGTAGAGGGGGGGGGGGGGCGGACGGGTCAGGACATGGCACACTGATGGATTTTAGGTGTTAAGGTTCGGTCCCACAAATGTAAATTGTTTAGTCTACTCAGGTAGCGCGATGCTTGTGCGTTTGTGTTTTACTTGAGCACAGTGCCCGATGTTGTGTGTCTGTTCACATGCGGATGCTTCGCTTGATGCTTCCTTCGAGTTAAAAATAATCATTGTTGTGTTCTCTGAAGTTTAATTGGTGGTTGTTGCGATCTGTAGAGTAAAGAAGGTGGATTGTGCAATCTATTAGGTAAAACAGATTGATCTGTTCCATATGTTGCGGACTGTCGGATAAAAAAGTATCATTGGTACGGGCTCTGAGGTATAACAGACAATTGTCGCGGTCCGTGAGACCATCAGGATGTGACCGCCCTCCGGTCCCAGGGCGCTCCGCGCGACCGGCCGCCGCGCGGCACCTGGCCACTCCGCCGGCGGCTGTCCGATTTATGGTCACTGCCAATCCGGAACGGATATTGGCCGCCGGCCTATTGCGGCCGGGGGACCCGGCGACCGAGCTGGCGGCGTACCGCGGGCCGATATACCATAATACGGCGGCCGGTCACACCGCACACAGGTAGCAGTAGTGGCCCCCTGAACGGTCGCGTGATGAAACTGGATTAGATGGCTGTCGAATTACGTTATGATATAGACCGTGGCCTCTTGTGAATTAGTCACAGAGAAATGGGAGGCTATCAAACGCTGTGTGCCGCAGGGATCCGATGGCGGTGCCGACTGCCCACTGCCGCTCTCACCAGGTCGTATCTACCTAATTTCGCGTGAGGTGTGCGTCCTCTCTGTGTGACCGTTTGCTGTGACCGAGTGTTATCCCTACCCGACCTTCCCTTTCTAGTCCCGGTGTAGTCATATTCTGTAGTAGCCCAGTCTTGGGTGCATTGCCGGCAATCCTCGATGGTAGTTGCAGGCTGCAGCTGACCACCTTCTATCGCCCTGCTTTCACAGATAATATGTTTTATGGTACGGAAATCAACACAGTTTGCCTCAGAATGTCTATGTGATCGGTTAACACATGTTGCCTTAGACACTGGTGATTAGTAACATGTTTCCCACAACCTTTCACAATGGTCGTACGTCCAGACAGCTCGGTTCCCAGATGCACTCCTCGCTGTCTATTTTTGTCATAGCCTTTGCCTGTTATGAACCACAAGCCAAAGCCAGCGACTGGAACTGAAGCCGGGTGCTAAATAAACATCTGCCTGTTCGCTAGGTGTGGTCTATGTATAATTTACGCTCCTACCCACCCCACCCATATTTGAACGACCTTTCCGGTTTGTTTTGATGTGCTTAGCGCTCCGTACGAGTCTAGCTAGAGGCTGCATCTTCTGGCCATGGATTTCATCGCTGTTTTGTGATGTGCCCTTACACTGTTCTTTCAGTTTAGTTCCGCACAATGAAGCGTGTTTGATGGGATGGCTATGGCTAACATCAACACCTTCTCACGTACGGTTGGTGTTTCACCCATGTTGCTTGCTGACTGGCCTTGTGACAGCTATAAGTAGTGTGATAAAATGGTTGTTTTGATCATGAATTGCATCTGCCCATCATACAACATGAGAAACTGACGCTCCGATTCGTTCCAAGCGTACCGTTGTCTTACAATTGCTTTCCAATTTTGTATCACGCGATAACCAAGTAACACAATTCGGTGCATTCTCACTCCGTTATTGGACTTCTTTTTTCCTTGCGTTGTCTTTTCTTTGTCTGATGCGGAAAGTTATAGTCTGCCTTCAACCCTGTTTATATGGAAATTGTCGTGAAGTTCCTCATAGTTGGGTTTTTAGTTTTATTTTCATCCCGACTCAGAATCTATGCATTGCTTTCGTGTTATCCGAGCAGTTCGACCATATTTCGTTGGTTTCAAGCCGAATTAAACCCGATCCCAAGTCGCAACTGATATCGATTTATGTACATAAGATTAAAGATAATGGCCTGTTTTGTTTCATTACCTTACCCTCGACTTTATCATGCGCTAAAAGCAGCGGCATTTCTATGAGAACTGGGTTGTTTATTTAAACGCAGTCAACACGCAGCTTTGAATATGAAGCCCATTAATGTCAGTTACCAACCGACGGACCTGTTTGCTTTTAACCACAGACCCTCCTCATGCCGCATCCTATGTCATAATCTGTGTGTTTACGCCTTTTTATAACTCCTGATTTAATCACCATTCATGTGTAGTGAACACTGAATGGGTGTCATATAATGAATGGGCCTTGAGGGAGACTCCTGATGAGGAGAGGTGGGCCCTATTACTGATTAGGGTGTCTCATACCGTACGCTCCCCAGATCTGTTGTCCAGTATTGGCTGTTAATGGCCGTCTGCACCCAAATCGCGTTATCGTTCATATCATGATCGATAACAAGACTTAGGCCGACGACGAGTGTGTCTATAGGACAGTATTTTTGGATTAAAAGTTGCTATTGGGGAGGGTGGGAGGGGGTCGTTTTCCACAGCCTGTCGCTTCGTTTCCACCCTTCCGCACTGTCCGCCGCCTCTGAGCGCGCGCCTTGGACTGCCCGACCTGTTTTGCGGCCTGTGTACTGTGCGTGTCTTATCTCGCCTCGGCCGAAGCCCGGTCCCTCCCCCTGGACCCGGGTGCGAGTTACCTAAGTGTGGAACTACCCAGCGCCGAGCCGGCCGGATGACGTCACACCACGGCCAGTGCCGGCGCGGCGGCAGACTAGCCGAGATTGGCATGGTCTTAACTTGGCGAAGAGGCATCGGACGCCAAACTTCTGCTGCAGCTATTAATCACATTTCATGCGTTTCTTCCATGTGTATGAGCTATCAAGTCCTTCGAATACCTAATGTGTAGGTGAGCGTACCTGCATTTAGCAGTGTGTGCTATGCTATGTGGATGGGCACATCCGACAGTCGACACACTGCGGAATGGATTCCTATATTGCTTGGCTGATTCTGGCTTTGTGTCTTCGAACGAACCACTGAAAGGGAGGACGTCATTTTTAAAGGTTGTTAGGTGCACTCAAACGTTTTAAGATAAGCAACTGCTGATTGAATTTCTGGCGAGGGTTGGTGGAACGCTCTGTTTACAAATGAGTATCTACCTACCTAGTACCTACCTGCAGTGGCAAATAACTGGGTCGCAGTCAGTTAGGCATGATTCACGAAGTCCCTTATCTTTTATTAGACTTATTAAGCCCAATGTGTAACATTTGCGTCTTTTCGCGTTGTATCGGGTAGCAAATGAGAAAATCTGCTTCTTCTCCACAGCCCTCAATTCAAGAAACCGTCCTTTTCCTTATCGCATCATTCCAGAACATAATTTTCAAACATGGGTATCTTCCCCACAAAAAAAAAACTGAAGCAGTTTCCTTCGGCTCCAATGCGCCGCTCGCCCAGGGAGACGGAAGTGTTATATTCTCGGCGGTCCAGTCTGCATTCTGCAGCACACTCAAACTTGGCGGACCCCCAGCGCACGACTGAACGATTCGTATTGTTGTGAGTGACTGTGACAATTCACTGGTGGTTTCGGAATAATGAACAGGCGGCGCAGCCCAGTGCCTCTTACAATGAATTACAGTGGCGAATGCACTATTGCAGAGAAGAAATGGATTGAGCAGATGCCCAACCTCGCTGTATTATCAACTAAACATTAGGTACCTACGCTTTACATTTTAATCAGGCAATCATGTAAACAAACGACTTGCGAGTTGCGACCCTTCCGCCTTACATAACTCGGCAGAATGCCCCTGAGTCGGCTAAACTACACTGCATCTCTTCAAACCTTGTATTTTACAATTTACCACTCAGCTATGCAACAGGCTTATAATTCACTGCTCAAGTCTCAACCCCTTTTTCCCTATCATCTTTTTGGCACCCTCAATCACCATCTGCGCTGCCCACTGTCCAGCAAATAATCCGGCCGTCTACAG